ATGCCACATAACACTCATGTCAGTTGTCATTTCAAGGGAAGGCAGCTGTAGCAGTAACCACTGAAATGAAATAGCGGGTATTGACAAGCAATTCACTGTGCATTGTTGGTTACTTTACAAACACATGTGACATCCTTGTATACCGACATGTACGGACAAAAACTAAAGCGACTGCTCTGGCACCTGAATCAAATGTAACTTTGTCCCTTTGGGAATAGTTCAGCTTTCAGCCAAATAAAAATGAGAGCCAAGTAATTTAGATGAGGTAAAATCCACACCAAAAAAATCCTTGTGAGACAAGAAACATATTGAATTTGAGGTCTCACCCAACTAAGCGCCATCCAGCTATCAACTGCTGCCCCGTCCAGCACAGAGCTGAGTATATCTCATGTCGGTGCCAGCCAACAGCTTGGAGTCGATGAAGTCTTTACCCGAGTTGCCAAATACAACACTGAAAGTGGCAGACACAGACGCTTAACAGGAGCTGTTGCTCAGTATCTGGTTGAGGAGATGGTGCCGATTCCAGCATTCAGACTTCTACTTAATTATGAACTTTGTGAATTTAATTCATCTAATAAAACCACTGCCATATACTTCTTAGGAATGCATGTATTTATACCTACTTTATGGAAAGCAAATCTGTTGTATAAACACTTGAAACAAATCAAAAAGTCAATTGAAAACATTTTAATTTCAATCATTGGTCACATACAAACATCTATAATTTCACTGCTAGACTACAGGCTTCAGTTTTTTAAATTTTTCTGAAATGATTTGATGCTGAAGATAAAGATGTGGCACCGATAGCATTTTTGTTTATCCCATAAAGGCATCTAGACAAACTTTTTAGACAGGATTTCTCCTCAAGGTTAATATTTGAATCCAATTCTGATTTTTCTGTCAGTCTGAGTCAAGCAGTCTCTTTTTTCTTTGTGCTTTTTAAGCTAAATAGGATCAATAGAAACTTATATAAATAGACAGCAAGAACATTTTGTTAAATACGTTTCTTTAAGTGGGTTATGGAGAAGATTGACAGTAAATATCCCCCTGTGATGATTGGATTATGTATCATCTTATGATACACTGCACTAGAGGCTAAGAGTCACCTTTTTTCTGGTGTGTTAGCGTACACAGAGCAGTTAACTAGAATGAAAGGAGGTAAACTTTTACAAAGGGTTTGTCTAAGTCACTACAAAACTCAAAGTGATGGAAGTGAGAGAAGACAGAGCAGGTGATGCTCAGTAAGTCACCCAGCAGACAGTGTAGGGCAGGTGATGTGCTGCAGCAGCCTGACAAGAGCTGTTTTGTGATGCCCAGGTTATTTATATCTCTACTACCCACCAGGAGGCCAAGATTGGACTTTGCTGTATATATAAAGAAATTGGGAAATATTGACGCCTTATATGTAACAGTTAAATCACATCAGACAGGCATAATTTGTCTCCACTAGGACAAACAGCGGTCTCTGTCCAGGGGGTCAAAATTACTTTATCAGCAGAGCTCAAACTAGATCCAGACTTGGATAACTTCAAAATAGGACTGACGCTGTTTCCAAAGAGGATTCAGTCTTGTTGTCATGGATTACTATGCACTTCCTTTCTCACTCAGTGCCACTGTGTGATGATGTATTTTCTATCTCTATGCCTTGTGATGTTGTGCTTGTTTTATGTGAATTTGCTGCCATTTTAATGTTGTGATAGTTTGTGTGTATTTGATATTTTATGTATCTTAAAAGCCCAGCTATGGACAGGCATTGTAAATTAGCTTAAGATACAAATGCTTTCGTATGTGGCAATAGTTTACTTGCTTCATACTTGTCCCTACAAACATTAAATAAATAAACAAATACATAAATTATGTGTCAAACAGCCTTGGTTTCATGTGGATTAAAAACATATGATTTTACGACTACATGAATTTATACCACCCTGCTTTTGTTTTTTTTCTCTCTCTTGTAAATTTATTTAGTCCTGGAAGCAATATACACACAGATGTGTGTAGTTTATCTGTTGACAGTCTTTTTTCCTAAGTGCTCATAACTTTTAGTCTTTTTTTTTATTTTCTACACTCTTACAGGGACAGAAGCTCAAATGGGGTTGTTGGAGTTGGCAAACCTTTCATGTTACTATTGCAACAAAGATAAAAATAAAAAAAAAAAACGTAGAGCTTTGATAATCCATATTTATTCAACATTATGAATTAAAAACTCTAAAAGCAGTTATGTTAGCTGTTGGTAGTGATATACACCCTCATTGTAACAGACTGGCCTGAGAGTACAAACGTACGAAAACAAAGTTTACTGTCAGAAATTAAACAGATTGAAAGTAATTACATGAGCTAGCACTGGATTTACATTTACAAACGTATCATGCATAAACAGGTTGCACCACGTCTCCGACTATCAGCTTCCACTGTCAGCTACCTGTGACCAGTGTGTGTTAGACTGAAAACAATTCAACACTCAAACTCTGAACTACCTGAAACAGTTATTGTTAGCAGGAGTTAATGTGTATCGAAACTACTTGTACCTAAACTGAGCGCTGCCTGAGAATATTACTTCTGTTTTAATAAAAAAAAAGCTAATTAAGCATGTTAGCACAAGCTAAAGGCTTTGTTTATTACCTATTAGCCTAACAGAAAGCAGACCAGCTCTGCCTAACTCTTCAACCTGAGCTGTTCCTGCAGTGCCAAACATTGATTCTGCACCAATGCTAGCTTACTGATCAGTCTTACGGGCTTACTGACCAGGAGTAAAAGAGTTCACAAGGTGAGATGGTCTTTGAGTAAAAGTTATGTGTTCTTCGCTATTTGTCCATGAAGAGTTTTACTTAGTGTGGCCCTGGTGATATGTCTGCTCTCTGCATCTTTAGTGGGCACAATAAGCCAATTCAATTGAAGTTGAAAGGTTACTGGGTAATCACCAAGGCCTCAAAATACTGTATAGGCACATCGGAATTACAAAGGGAGTTACAGCTTACACAATGACTGGTGTGGTAGGTCACACCCAAATCACACCTATGAATAATCACCCTGTGCCTCACTTAGTGCCAAGATTGTTATAGGACAGTCCTTTGCAACAAAAAATTGTGATAATTTGGATCAATAAGGCATTTTTATCTGTAGAAATACCTCCTCTGTAGCTCATGGTGGCCACATTTTTTCACATAAAAGCATCACAGAAGGCGACCATTGTGGCCTACTCAGGGAAAACACAAACTACTCTCTTATAAAGTAAAGCCCGCTGCATTCCCACTTTAACAACTAACATCAATCCCAAAGCTTGTGTTGCGTTTCATCTCCTGTCCTAATGTTCCATATTTCCTATCTCTGCCCTCTGAATAATAATCAGGAAAACGGAAATCTCATCAAAATAATTTTACAGTTCCAACTGATTAAAATTCAGAGCCAATAGGAGAGATGGTAAACCATATTGCAGTCTAGCATTTTGCAGTTCACAGAGTTTCTTACTGCTGCTCAGTTCAATGCGCTTTATTGGCCTTGAGGGAAGGTTATATTTCAACAATAATGCAACATCTGATTTTCTAATTACTGCCTAATAAAAACCGGATGTGGCTGATAGAAACCGAATCCCTCAAGTGTTGTATAGCAAGGTAGACTGCACAGGTAGAGGACTGTCAAAATTACTGTTAATGTGTATTATGACAGTTAATGTTTTTAATTATTTTCAAATTGTACATCTACACTGCAAACATTGCCATCGCTACAGACAGCAATTACTTTTGGTAGCACTTGGGTTGAAGCCCCAGTGAAAACAAAGTTAAGTCAAAAAGTCCTGGACAAAAACATATTGTTTGCAGAGATGATGTCTACTTCATACTATAGACGAGGAAGTTGAGAAAATAGTTTCAATAGGGATCAATACTAAAATGCAACATAACAGATTTAGCAATAGTTTATATTATGGTATTATCTATATTTTCTTTCTTATGTAAACCAAGTGAAATCTGTCACAGCATGACCTTTCATATGACATATCTAAAATGCATTACAGTGTGCCTCCAGTGCTGTATAATCATAGTTAGGAGCACCTATGGTAATGCTTTGTACTTGTAAGCATAACTCATTTGTCAGTATGCATGTAGTAAAAGAATTCATAAATATTCAAAATGCTATCTGACAATAATTGTTACATGCTTATAAGACAATTTATAAAGTTTAGTGTCAACACAAAAAAGTGTATTTGCTGACCACTCAATGCATCTGCAAAGATCAATACGGAAGGAAAACTGTATATTAAAAGGACAACACAAGATCATAGATAACTCTGTATGATGCCATGTTAGTTGAAGGAAAGAGGACCAGACAAAAAATGTTTCCTCCTTCTTGTTGCCATTATGGGAAAATCGAGTATTGACCCTTGAATGTATCACTCAGCAGAGAAAATTACCTGATGAGGTTACTTTAAAAAGACCTTCTTAACAAAAGTTGCATTTCATAAGCTTCATAAACCAGCTGTACCTTAAAAAAATGTATACATTATCTTTATAAATATTTTGCGCTACTACATCAAGCTTTCTCAAATAGGTAAAAAAAATGACAACACTGATTTTTTCAGAGGAGTTGCCTTGAATAAAAAAGTGATAACACTGTAAAACCTGATAAATGTAAGTAATGTTTTTTTTAATAGAATACTTGCACATTTATTTGTAGTATGGTTTTATTAACTGGCCGTCTAACTAATCACCTAGTTAAGGTAAATACTGAGATACGGTTGGTCGGATCCCGGTTGACAACGGTCATAAATTCTGTATGGTAAGGGTGACATGAGGGACAACCTGATCACATACGTTGCATACATCCCAGTCAAGTCAAGTCAATGAGAAAGGAGAAACACATCACATCAAGTGTGTGGTTAATAATGTTTCTGCTTCCTGTTGACAGTGTGACAAAAAAGTCTCTTTCAGGTGGCAACGGCAGACAAAATAGAAGATATTTGAAGACAAAAACCAGGCACTAAGAAACCACAAACCACAACTGAGTATGATCTTTGGCAGTGCTGACAGTGCCTCCATTTTTATTTCTTCTTGCATCCAGCTGATACAATGACATCATGACATCAGCTCTAAAAAGAGAAAGCATCAGTAATAATTTCATTCAGTTACCAGAAAAACTATTCTCAAAGGAGCTTTGAAAATAAACTGCAATAGCTTTTGTATCATGAACTAGAGCATAGAGACGCGCGCTTACATACACAACAACACACTCTACAAACCATAAAGAACTTTAACACTAGTTTCTCATCGGAGCAAATTACCTCTGAGTGATTGTCTCACTCATAACAGGCAGTGTTTTGCTCCTTTTGCCTTTCTTTAAGTCCTGTGGTTGTCTTTTCTGAATCCTGTTTCACACTTTCATTTTTACTCTCTTTTTTTCCCTATCCCTTTTTCCTACTACTTATGTCCGACAAGCAGTCTTTCCCAGAGCCCCTTTTATGCATCTCAGCATTCTCCCTCTTACACTTCGTCCTGAAACATTTTGTGCCATCTTGCCATCCTCCCTCTCTCTCTCTCTCTCTCTCTTTCTCTCTCTCTCTTTCTCTCGCTCTGTCATATTCTTCTCTCTGCACCTGGCCATGACTCTTCCCCTCCAACTCTTTGACAGTTTCACATTAATCATTCCTACATCCCCAGGAAGACTGCCTTCCTTACCTTCCTCCGGTCTGTCACATTCTCTCCCTTTCAGTCGTTCAGTTTCTTTCTCTTCCCTTCTCTCTCCCTCTCTCTCTCCTTTTCTCTCTTCCTTCACTCTGCTGCTCTAATTTACTCTGGATACCTTGTTTCTCCACTCTCATCAAATCTCTGTTTAAGTGCAGGCAAAAAAAAAAAAGAACCCTTTCGCTCATAGTTGTGTCAAGTGACCATTTGTAGTCTGCAAGCACAATGCCAGTAAATGTGATGAGAGGAGAGTCAACGGATTCCTTTAGGTCAGTTAACTGAAGCACTCCAGAAATGTATTGTTTCAACAAATACTTGAAAAAAATAATGATCTAAATGATGACTTGTTATGTGAAAGAAATAAACACCAGAAGTAAAACAAACAAAAAAGCCCTGTTAAAGCCTGATATGTAACAATAACCCAAATTTTATTTAAGAAAATTGTTATAAAACCTGAAATGTAATAATTGGTCAATAATGTAACACGATGCTGAGCCCAGTGCGAATAACTTTTTGCCAAAAATGTAGCAACTTTTTACATTTTGGGTCAGTTACCACATTTTAGGTTTTATTACATTTTTTTAAACTATATTTCAGGTTATTGGTTTTTTATCAGACTCTAACAAGCCCTATCAGTCAATGTTACGTTGAAAAAAAGAAAAACTAAGCTTTTCCCTTTTTTTTCTTCTTCAATCCTAATTCTGTATTTGTGAAGAAAACAGTTACTAAAGGTAAATACGAAGTGTGACCATGGACTGAGAAAATGTCTGACAGCCCAAAGCTGTCTGTGAAAGCTTGGCACAATTAAAAGTTACAAGATCAACACCAACCCAATCTTTTATTTATAAAAAGTAATTTACCTGAAATTTGCAGTTCTGCGTGTCTCTCTTGACAAATTAGTTGGTTATTTAATGATGCTGGGTCAAAGAAAAGAGCCTGTCTTAATTATTCAGCTTTATTCACACAGCCCTAAAGCATAGAAAGGCTTTTTTTGTTTGACACTGACTCATCCAAAACAACACTCAAAGTGACTATTCAACAACCCATTTTCTTATATATTCAACAAAGCACCATTTTATTTATGGTTTGTTAAAATTTCACTTTGCTTCTAAACTTGATAGGTATTTTAAAGCAATCATTTGCAGCCACTGAAAACACATCCTATAAAAGTCTGAGAGAAAACAAGGAAACCTATGAATGACTTAGAAATCCTGGCTCTATCAAGACATGACTAATGCCAAACAACAGACAGCTATTCATTTCATTTTTATAGGCCATTTTAAACATGTCTCTCACACACTCATTTGTTTTACGGTTGTGTATTATGTTCTTAAACACGGTCTAATCCCTGATTAGTGTAGGAAGAGAGTGGTAATGCTCTCTCCACTTGTCTGCTCCTGAACTGTGACACACAAGAATGCTTACAACCACATATGCAGATGCTCACACTCACAGTTAAAGCAATCCATGCTCACACATTAACAGGAATCACACTGCTTCTCGTGCAAAGACACTTGCATGTGACTTCATGCCAAAAGTAAAGTACTTCCAATAAGTGCAACACAAAGATCATGACAATTCATTTGTCAAGGGGGGAATTAGAGATGAACAGCGTTTATTCTACCTGGATCACCATTGTTCGCTTTAAAAAAAAAAAGACCATAATTATGCATAGTGGAATTAGACCATTTCAAACCTTCCTTCACATTCATGGAAGCCTCCAAAGTGTTAGAAGTCAGAAACATTTCACTGATATAAAGGAGATTACTGCGACCTTTTAACTGACTTTAAATGCACACGTATCAGTCAATCATTTCTATTCCTGCCCAATCAAGGCTGGACACAGGGCAGAAATTTGATCCTCATCTTGTGTATTCCTTGGGGTTCAACATCTGGTACATTCTCACTGTACAACTTCTGCAGAAGGGCAAATCTTGTTGCTCTAACAAACAAAACACTCTGAGGCAATTCAATGACAATGGACTGCACCTGCTGAAAACACTAAGCGTTGTTCATTATTTTCACTTGCTGTCTGATCTTTGAGTTCATTTCGTGCTGAATGATATTTAAGCACAAACACCCTTACAAATTTTTGCAGATCTGTACAAGATAACAAACACTAACCCCATCCTGTGTTGCAGTCCGGGTCATCTAAACACATGGATAAGTGCTAAAAAACTATGTTCATGGACAGCCCTTAGCTGGTTTGGCCACTTGGTAAAAACATCATCAAAAAAAAAAGTGATATATTGAACGTTGTATAAAGTTTATATATATTTATATATATACATAAATGCTCTGTGTGTGGCTGCAACTGGTGTTTGTGATTTAGGGATGTTTTTGGCAACAACATTGAAAAGATGACATTTTGTCTAAAAGCAGCTCATTTTAATATACATAAACAGCACTAATGCACAGAGATGATGTTATCTGCATTATGAGAAGTTCTTTCTTTATTCAGAATGCAACTTTGCTCTATCTTTTTATTCAACAGGACCATAAAGATGTTTAAAACATATAATTAAATACATAAAAATAAATGGACATAGTCTGGTATTGGTCTCCTGTGGCCCAAAAACATTCCATATGGAATACAACAGTAGCAAATGAGTGTTAATGAAATACAGCACACCTCATTCTGTTAGCATTGGGGATTGCAAACTAAGCACTAGTGCAAAGGTGTCAGTGTGTTTAATTAGAGCTGCTATATTGAGCCTCTGATTTGCCACTGAACATGCAGCTGCTAATTTCTGCTGGGAAAACTTACAGACTTGATCAGCAGAAAAATCCAAGATAAGGATATTTTCTCCATAAATCAAACAGAAATAATCCCTCTGACTAAAGTCACTCTGTGTAATACCAGAAATCACAGTGACGACATGAATAACAATTACTCATTTCATTCTAGACACACTGGCAAAGTGACCTGCCGCTGACGCAGGACAATTTCCTAACCAAAACAGACTGTCCTACCAAGAGTCATTTTGGCATGTGCCCAAAGAATGGCATAGTGTTGTCTATGTACTGTTGTGATAGCAATGACTGTGTAGGGACAAAAGCAGAAGTCAGATGTAATTCAAACTACCGGTCAGATGACTGTTCCTCCTCTGCCTACCATTTGGTTATAGTATTGTGAAAGTCAACGTCTCCTATCCTTTCTTGAAGATATACTTTGGCATTTTCCTTTTATTAGATAGAATATTCTAACATTCAAACTTTGGTCTATCCTTTTCCTCCTGCTCCAACCAGGAACCTCAATAGTGTTGTGCTCAAATCTATAAATGTGGAGTTTTCACTTTAAAACAGGGCAACCATATTCTGACTTCTCAAAAAGAGGATACAACCAAGAGGGGGGGAGCCATGGAGTTGCACAAAGTTAAGAGTTTTTTGGGTAAGGTCGAGTCTCTTTTACGCGCTTCTAACTTAGTAAGTCCACGTGACACAAAGTCGAAACTTCCGTACAAAACCGTTGACATTTGAAGGAGTTTATAAACTTCCCCAGACACAGCCAAACAAACCCGGACAGCCCCCCCCAAAAAAGGACATGTCCAGGTAAAAGAGGATGTATGGTCACCTTACTTTAACAGCTGATATTTTGGTCATAAATGATTAACTTGTCAATATTAGAAGGAACACAAATACAAGTTTATTCTTTATTATTTTCTAACAGAAAGCATAGTTTGTTTCTGAGTTTGGACAAATTGAGAGTGGGTTTTGGTTCTCTATTAGCCTTCTTTCATCAAAAATTACTGTTTCTACAATGTGGTCACTTATTTTTCCCCGCAGAGGGAGAACCCTCTTTTGTGAACACCTGTAATGTGAAAACAGTAAAACAGGAATTAATTTTAATTTAATTTCAGTAAAGCCATTTGACAATCACCCTTGGATGTGTTGCATTGTGTCAAGGTAATTACACTGTGGATGCATGATCAGCCTCTGCACTCTTGTCAGGAATGGAAAATGCTCTGTTTTTTTGTTGCTGTATATGCCAGTAACATCTGGTTAAGTAGACAAGTACAACATGTAAAATAATCACTGATTTTAGGTGATATAACTGTATTAACTGCTGCGGATAACCAGCACATAAGCATGAAATCTCCAATCAAAACAATGAGAACATAGAATGAAAAAAGTGATGCTGTTTTCAGCCTATTTTTGTACCAGGTTTAACTTTGACTCAAGTTGAAGCCTTCACTGAAGTGCACTTTAGTAAAGGGCCTTATTAGAGCCACAAGTTTTGGGAATGTCTTGAGCTTTTTCCAGCATGACTGCCCCTGGGCACAAACAGAAGTCCACACAGATTTGATTAAAACTGTTTCATGGGGAGAACCTTGATTGCTTGCTCTTGACCTCAACCCCACTGAGCAGCATTGAAAGGAATCAAAACACTAATTGCAAACCAGGCCTTCTACTCAAACACCAGGATCCCAACTCACAATTTTTATTTGGCAGACTGGGCAAAATTTCTCATGGACACGCAACATTTTCCAGATGGGTGGGGTCTGTTTGGCCGAAAAAAAGGCTCCAACTACATTTTGTTAACCCTGTACAAAAAACAGACATATTCTGTCCTTTTCCGTTTGCTGTATACTTTCAGCCAGATACTGTATTTAGGAATGATCATGTATGTGTTAATCTTTACGTTTAAATGTAGTCAGTGCTTAAAGGGATATTCCTTACAGGGATCATTTCTTTATGGAAATGCAATCAGACTGAGACGCTAAGGCAGAACTGCCGTGTCTGCAGTGCGAAATGATTAACATGGTGATTATTACTTAAGGTAAATGATAAAGAAATGATCATAAATGTTCTTCCTTGAGCTGCGTCACCCCGCTGCAATCCGTAATGGACTGGCCTTAGGTCTCACTACAAACAAGCGGCTGCTGGAGGAGAGTAGGTGAGTTGTGTTTAGTGTCTTTGCTAAAGAAATTACACAAAGTTAAAAAACATTTTTGGTGGCTAGTTCTATGGCTAGGACCCTATATGTACTGTTGGTGAAGTTAGATGTTGTTCTGAGCATTATTTGTGGTTATAGAGTGGCTTATTGGTTGAGGTTTGTTTATGGCTCCTCAGACTGCTATTGTGCGGTCATTACTAAAGTTGGGAGAACTAGGGAAGCGAGTGGTCGGCAACATTCATCTCTCGTCGGGGTGTACATCTCGATGTTATGGTGTCTTTGACCCTAACTCTATTTTACGCCGGAATATCCCTTTAGGTGTGCGTACAAGTCAGAGTCATCACTGCTGTAGACCAAGTTGAAACCAGAGTTCTGAAAAATCAGGACTCAAGTTGGACTTGAGTCTAAGTCCTAAACTTGAGTACTACAACTGTGCTATGAGACACATTTGAGTACCGAATTGATCAAAATAGCGTTACTAAACTTCAAGTAAAAAGAAAAAGAAACCTGCTTTGAAAATAAACTAAGTTTACTAAGTGAGCTAAGTAAAACATAACTGTAAATGTCACTAGGTGATCAGTGATATTTTTCATTTCCCAAACTGAATAAAGTAATTACACTGAGCTCTAATCAGGGAAAGTATTGGATCACTGGAGAGGAGGCAGATTGCTATCTGTGTGACAGAAACAAGTCAACAACACTTTTATCTTCACTCAGATTTCCCCTAATGCAACAGCGCTTTATCTCTTCATTACTCAGTGATGAAGATGGGGGCATGACAGTTTACGTCTTCCTGGAATAAAGGTGTCTGTTTTTTTTTTTTTGTAGGGGTCATTATTTGAAAGTGTACCAAGACGTTTTGGTAAACAAGAGCTGGCTTGACAATGGGAGGGACACATGATACATGTTAAGTCATTCTCTTCTGTCCAAAGCTGCCCACCAGAGTTCCCTGAAAATGAAAAGCTTGTCTGCTGCATCCTCCCTTCCCTCCCCTCTATCTCACTTCTTCCTCTCCTTGTTATATCTTTTCCACACCTCTCTCCTCCCCTACAGTCTCTTTCGTCACCACTATCGTCACCTGCGGGTGTCTGTGTCCTACGATGCATTGCAATCCTCTCCCCCTGGCTGGAGTGGAACTGCAGTGACATCTACTGAGAGAGGAAAGGAGAGGAGTGAGGGAAAGACAATGAAGAGGGAGACAGAGGGAGAAAGAGAACGACCGACCGACCAACCACAGCAAGTGAAACGTAATTAGGGAGTTAGGGGAATGAGGGGACACCTGGAATCACGTAGTACCTTGAAATTTTTTAATTACATATTCAGCTCAGTAGTTTAATTTCAGGCCACAAAGCACTTTTTTTCCAAATAAAAGACAGTATTTCCCCAAGTGCTGAAAAAGTTTTCTTGATTTCTATAGATTTTTTTTCTCTCAGTGCCGGACTGTGTGCATATAATTGCTTCCCCTTTCGGAACAACAGCTCTAAGATGATTTTAATTCCAGTCAGCAGGCTTTGATACAGGCTGTCTGTGTGTTTGTAATTATTGTCTTAGTCACTGCCTGTCAAACCCTATTACATGAGGTCAAGCCCAAATGACTATCCTGATCTGATGACAATAATTTGACAACTGACACACATGCATCAGTAAATAGTGCACATACACAAGACACAGACACATTTGTGCACCCATACCACAAACCAGACTGGCATAAAACCACCACGCACACAAACACGTACTCATGCACAAACATTAACACAAACATACACAGTAGGAAATCAGCCTTTGACAGGCATCTAAAGCATGAATAATTCAGCGTCTCGTTTACATAAACCTTCCATTCAGTCATACATGCATTAGAATTACAGTTGTATGTGCGAGAAGCCTTCATCATGTTATGGTAATGAAGCTGGAAAGCATGCCCAGAAACGACTTTTGGGAAATAAAGAAAAGTTTAATCTTTTTTTGCAAATCGAATCCTTTTTTTTAATAGTAGTCTAGTTTATGCACTTTAGGACACATAAAACCTTTTTTTCTCTTTTCCTCCTCATGCCCAGAAATGGGTAAATGTGCCCTGTGAGACTCAAAATCAGGCTCAAGAAACTGAGAATTCTGTGTGTTTGTTTGTGGAAATAAAATCAGTATGTAAAAGCAAGTTTTTGAAGGCATTACTTCCTTTATGTGATGGGACAGCTGATGAGAAAAAAGGAATAGGAGTAAAGACCCGTGGATGATATGGAGCGAGGAGATGCTGCCAAGACTCAAACTCAGTATACAGGGCACCTGCCCAAACCGCCATGCTAACCAAAACCCTATAATTAGAACTTTCAGGCCACAGCAAACAAACAAATGTAGCCATGTGTTTAGTCTAATGAATACATAATCGAAAGACAATAAAATAAGCCCTCAGGGCAACATTAGATACTCTAACACTGTCAAAATCTGTAAAGAATGGAGTTGCTTTGGTGATAGATTGGTAAATAACTTTTAACTGTGCAACGTCCAAAGGGAGGGAAAAAAAGTGCCATGAGGGGACCATATAAAAATGCAACAAAATAACTGAAATTGGGCATTCATGAACAAAAAAATTCCTTAAAATAAATAAATAGATATAGAAACTGTAATCTTAGTTTTTTTTCCATCCATTCCTGGGGCATGTAAGTCTTCTCTGGTTAAGACTCAGGGTCCCCGACACAACAACAGCTGCAGGAGAGAGAACCAAAATATGGCCTATTTTGAGTGAGTAAAAATGACCAGCTGACTAAAATATTTTTTTATCACCATATGAATTCCCTTGAACATCACTACTTTGTGATAGTTATTTCATAACCACTACGCCAAATAAAGATAGTATACAAATTCCAGGACCACTCTTACTGACCCTATTCGCCTACATGCCGCTATCAAATCCACCCAAACCTGCTTCACCCTCTATCACAATCACTGGGTGAAAATCACCTGAAAACGTGCCTGTAGGAAAAAGCAGGTTTTGAATCAGGGAAACAAATATGCCTTCAAAGATGTCAAAGGCAATGCTGAAGTTACCCATGGACCCATGATACCCAGACAAACGCAACATAATGAAAATCCTGTAAACATGTTTGGTCAAGAGAAAATCACCCGGCGATAGTGTTCCAGGGTTAAAATCTTTAATTTTTGCTTCTTATTTGCTTTTATCTAAGACCATCAATGTTTGGCTGTGATAAACAAATATTTCTTTTTTTTAATTAACTGATAAAGTCTGAGGACTGAGGAATAATAAAATTACTCTGAATGTTCTTTTATAAGTTGTGTCTAATTAACAGATCATCCAAAATCCAAGATACTTCAAATTGGAGTGGGAGTAAGACAAAGCAACAAACCTGAACATTTGACTCTTTGGGATACAGCCATCTGGACAGAGAAGAGACTGGTCGTCTCTGTGGGCCTGTGAATGATAAGGGACTTAATGTAGAGTAGAACATTCGCCACATTGAAGTGGTTGGGATGAATATGATCTTTTTTCAAGGGGCCAAAACTCCCTGGTGGCACCTTCATGTAAATGTTTCTCATTTCTGCTGAAAAACTGAATGAAACGGTTCATTATACAAACAGTTGCCACTGAATTGCAAATTTAACAAAGTGCTTTAAATGCATCACACATTAAAAGCAAAGATCATTTTTTAGTTACTCTAAAGTGAATGTTGATTACCCAGAAAATATTGCAAAAAAACAAATTAAAAAATACGCTTTTGGTGAATGTTGATTTATCCACAGAAAGAACTGGAACTTGGGATTTGCATTGATTACAAATGTTTACTCATAAAGTTGCTGAAAAATGTAATTCAAGTAGCACAATATCTCGCTCGAATCAAAAATGTATTTACTCTCTTTAATGTCTTGTATATCAACAAACATTGAGAATGCAGTGTTATATTTTCCCCATCTCTATAAGAAAAAATCCTAAGAAAGCCATGTCTTCTTTGCTGAAGCCTTCTTAGAGTGCATACTACGCTGCATATGCTCCATGACGAGATTACAAACAGGCAACAATGTCATCAATTTGATTTATATATTATTAACTATTCTCATCCTGGGGGGGTTTGCTCATTTTATAAAGTGCCCATGGTGGGTGTGGCCCTGTCTATCAGAGGCCAATGACACAGGGACACCTGTCAAATAAAACTATATTACCTCTGATTGATTGAAAGGATTATGAGACTGTAGGCAGCCATGGACACGCATGTCAGGGATGGAAGAAAGGAAAGGTATGAGAGAGGGGCTGATAGGGAAACATGTCTGTGTTGTACTGCGTAAAGAAGATAGACAAGAGAAAGAAATAACAAAGATTCAGATAATTAAAACAATGACTTTGTCAGCGGTCCTGGAAAATGCTTAGTTGGAAGAAGAAGAAAGATATTAAAAGGGGTGTAAAGGATCAAATAACTTTGACAGGAAAAGTCTAGGATGGGTTGGAAAAAAATAAAAAGGTCTCTTTCTGACATTATCGTGGGTGGTAGTTCACACTGCCAGTGGCTATAAAACCTTTAGATTAATCTTAATCTTATTCAAAGCGGTAAAGAGGTGTTTTCATTTTGGGAACTATCAGTTCTGGCACCCCCTGTAGACAAAACTATTTCACCTCATTTTACACAGAGTTTGATCGGCTTAACTTTTTCAACCTCTATTAAAGTTGGGGTTCTTTCACAGCTGGATTGTTTAGGAAAGTTGTTCCCAAACAGAAGGCGTTTTCCATCTTTGCCCTGGGTTATTTGGGCATATGTGGACAGAGCTCACATGGTGGTGGTGTGAGACGAAAAAAAAGAGAGCCGAGATCACTAAGAGGCGGTGCTTTGAGCTTGCTAATTATCCAAAAGGTTGGTTTCCAATGCAACAACTGAAAAAAAATGGCTGCTTCAGTAACAGGTCAGAAAGTTTGCATAAATATAAAAATAGTCTGACATTACTTACTGTCTCAATCCAATCCAACATCATGAGAAGAGCTGGTAGCACTTGACAACATATTCTGGTTCTCCAGCTGGTTAAGTCGCAAGAATTTTATTTAGCTCATCAGACTGGGGGAACTTGTCCTCTAATTCACTTTGACAAAGATGGTTTCATATCTTAACATACTGCTGTCCGACTTTCTCAGCTTTGGTGACACTGCACGACAGCTGTAAAAGCCTCCTCACTCAGACAATGATGCATGTTTTAGTGTTCAATATTTTACAAATATGCCCATCTGTCCAAACACTGCAAGGCATTTTGCTTCCTCGCTACTCCCAGTCAACCCAGGACTCATTTTGTTGGTGTGTTACCTGGTGGATGTTGAAATCTTAAAGGGCCTGCTTTCCATGATACAACTGCAACTTTTTTGTACTTGTTGGTCAACTTAAAGCAGTGAAAATAAAGCTTGAAATAAGCACCTCTATGTAGTAGCTTCTTGATTTGACTTCAGAATCGACTTTAAATGGAATTGCAGCCTCAAATTCAATTGTGATATACTGAGAGAGTCTTTAGTACTTTCAAACATGATGTAACTTGATTTTGCTGTAAATATCCAGAAACTTGTTCACCACAGACTTCAACAGGTCATATTAATGCTTTCTACCCTCTAAACTTCCAGTTTAATCCTTTCATTACTGAAAGTGAAACTCGGCAGCTGTCAGAAACCAGGAGAGGGCCACAGTTTGTTTCAGAGTTTATCAGGTAGCAAAACTGGTTCTCAAAATCATTCTGGTTCCTAAATTTGTGATACCATGTTTGTACACACAAACACAAAACTGTCTGAAACAGGGGTAAGCAGGTTCAACATTGAATGTGTAGGCATGCAGCTTTCAAAGCAATGCAAATCTGAACAAATGCACCCTGACAGTCTTAGGTGATCTTTTAACTTGGATGCTGAACATGTTATTGTTAGAGAGTATTGTAGATACCTGGTACGCTGGTCTCTAACATGAGTAAGCTTATTTAGATGGTCACATCTCTAAGGGACGTTTGAGATAGACACATCCTGCACCCACACACATGCACAGAGCATCCAAGAGCTGGGACGATATGCTTTTCTCTCAATTCAATTCTTATACCATTTTTTGGATGCCAATTCGATTTAAATTGCGATTCTACGATATTGTAGATTTTCTCGCTATTTAGCCTAAATTTTTAACACCAGTGAAACAGTTGAATGATTATGATTGCCTACTGACTATTCCAGGAACCATATTCTCCCCTAAAACACACATCACATGTAAGACAGTTTATAAGATTTATTTTTAAATTTGGAAGAAAAAAAAATGATTTTTGGACACAAAAATTGATTTAAAAATTCTAAAATAAAAAATTGCAATACTTCTGTGAATCGATTTTTCTCCCACCCCTAGTATATGCAGAATATGTAAGGTCATTGTTTTTTTTTGTTGTTGTATCTTACATAAGACTACAATATTGAGTATCTGCAGTGAATTGGGTTCAAATCAATCAGTAAAACTTTTGGTGGTTAGCAGCTTTTTCTTAATGGCACTGATGTAATTGGTGTCAGCTATGGAAAACTCATACTTTTTGCAGCCTGAGAGAAAACTCTCGAACATGGACTGTGCATTTTTAACATATAAATAGGCAGATTTTTTTATTATTATTTATTTAGAGTGGCCAGAGAGAAAAAAAATATCTTCATACAGTAAAAAGTAAGATTCATTATGGCCAATCTAGCTGTGTTCAGCGATGTAAATACCAAAACAGTCTGTGACAGACTCATTCATAAACAAGTCTTATCTTGCTCTCTCTTGGCTGTTTTGACCCGGTTTAACCTGCACATTGATTTGTTTTCACCAAGAAGACATTTTTCTTAGATTCATTGACTGTAAACAACGAAAGAGGTTGTATGCATAAAAACTAAGAATGTATTATCCCCAAACAGGAGCATGTAAATTTTATTAATTCACCGAGCCTTGCCCCCTGCAGTGATTGAGGTGTTTACTCCGGTGCATATGTTTATAAGTCAGCAGAGGAAGAGCACCTGCTCAGTGGCCCATTCTTTCTTGTTATGCTTGGCAGGGTGATGGAGCACAGGGCCATAGATCAATATTCACCCTCTCACACATACAGTACGTACATAAACAAAGTCGTGCAAAATCCAAAATGCGGGAAACCGTACACATCAACCATGCGCCAGAAAAAAAGGCCAATACACATGAATAAACATGCGCACGTAAACACACACATTTGCATGAAGGGTGTGCCTGCTAGCCCATTTTCCAAGTTATGAGATGATTAGCATCCCATTAACAGCAGTTTTTCCTGCCCTGCACAGCCCCTCTTTATGACATAGGTGCTGTGGAATGATGAAGCATTGTTATCAGGGGGCCATGAATCATCCCCTTCCTCAAATTAAACATGCTACGTCATAAACACATTATGGCAAACCTGCAGGTTAGGATGGATGTGCATACAGAATTGTGTGTGCGTATATGTGTGTGTTGGTGGGTGGGTTGGGGTGGGAGGGTGGGGGGGTGACTGAGTGCCTAGTGTCCCAGTTAAGTGTAATAAAGCACAGGGCTAAAATAATGTGATGAGTTTAATGAGCAGACCATCCATGCATTCAACTCCCTCAATACCCCCATACCCTCCATCCTCTATCTCCCTCTGTCTCTGGATCACAGGTCCTCCCCCTCTCCCCTTATCCATCTCTCCGTGTGCTTGTGTGTGTGTGTGTGTGTGTGTGTGTGTGTGTGTGTGTGTGTGTGTGTGTGTGTGTGTGTGTGTGTGTGTGTGTGTGTGTGTGTGTGTGGAGAGAGAGAGGGAGAGAGTTAGTAGTTGGGTAGGGAGGTAATGCGATTCGACTGGAACGATTAATCTTTCTCAGGTGAGAGTGTATTGGGAGAAACAGGGGAGGGTGACAGGAAGAAGAGGGATGGGATGAGATGTAGTTTAAATGTAAGTGGGAAAAGAAAAGAAAAGAATGTGAAGAGAAAGAAGCATACGGCAGGTGAATTATCCTCTCTCACTTTTCCATCATAAGTTTAGTTCTCCTTTCTTGCGCTCTGATCTAATCATTTCATTTCTTGCATCACCTTTTCTTCGTTCCCTACCGCTCTTCACTTTCTGCCTCCTCCACTCTTCAACATTAACCACTCCTTTTTTAAAACCTGTTCTTTATTCCGACAGTCTACCACTCCCCTCCCCTCTTGTATTCTTTATAACTTCCTCCCCACTCCTGTTCAAGGATTTGTTGTAGAACAACCAAACGCAGGAGTGAACAATGTTTCATCCGAAGGACCTACATTCTGTAGAGCTGTGTGCGAACGGTATGAACTCACATATAACCACTGCTTTTTGAAACTTTGCTTGCGCTTAAGTAAGTGTAGTGGTATCAAACCGCCGTAAGGGCCAGCACTGACAAACCCATGTCATCAAACTGTTACGGTTTAATCAGGGACAAGTTCTTTCTATATCTGATTTTGTGGGAAGTACCATTTTCAATTTGAATCCTTAAATTCATTATCTGACGATCTTAAACAGTTTCCTTGAAATCAAAGCAGCTGCTCTGGGTTTCAGATTTGCTGCAGGCATTGTAAGATTTAGTCATCTTGCACCTCTCCAGTTTTAATCATACAGGTTTCCAAACGTTTAGCCTTTCAGGTGGAGCAGGAGAGACCAAAATCAAGACACACTGGCCCACTTGGGGTTTAACACGATTCTGCTAGTACAAACACATCCTGCTATTTAGTCAAACTTCCCAAGTGTGCGTACAGTTGGCAAGGTGCATGTAATCCATATGCATCAGCATCCAAACAGTATCCATAATCTTATAGTCGATGGAAGACTGACAAAATCTAAACTAAGAACTAATGCATTACTGGCTGGGGTACAGTGCTGGATCTGTGCTAATTTCTTAATTTGATTTCCCTCCTCAAATAGAGCGAGTAATTTGTTTAGGGGACCAGAATTTGCCCAATTTAGCTGGTAAGCTCCTTGGCAGCAGTAATGGGGATAAACAGCTAGCAGAAACTGCAGCCTAATCATAGTGCGTCTGTTGAAGACTTGCACAGACACACATATACTCACTTACACACTTTCTTGCTAAAACACACACACACATAATCTTCATTTTGCTTCCCCTGCCCCTTCTCTACATTCCACCATAATTATCTAGTTCAAAATTACAGCTTTGCGGGGCGAAGGAGCTCGCCAACTAACCTGTTAGCCAACTCAATTTGCTCACACACTCTTGTCTCACATCAAGGATTCACTGGTTTTCTCGCCTTAGCAGGGCATACCAATTCAGCTTCAGAGGAACTGTTTAAATCAAATCACTGCACTACATTATACAGTCACAGTAATTACCCAATGGTAAACGTGAAGATTTCTCAGTATGAATATATAATACTCAAACTGCACACACCAGTATATACAAACATTAACCAACACAAATGAAACTTTTGAAATACAGTTTTCACTTCACAGAGATTTAATGGCTTAAAGGGATATTCCGGTGTAAAATTAGGTTAGGGTTAAACACACCGTAGAGATGAATGTTGCAGACTGCTTGCTGCTCTAGTTATACCAATTTAAGTAACGACCGCACGATAGCAATACACGGCGAGCTACGGCTCCACGTACACACCTTAATAAAAATTTTAAAAAACACTCTATAGCCACAAATTATGCTCAGAACAGCACCTAACTTCATCAACAGGACATGTAGGGTCCGAGTCATAGCACTAGCCATCAAACTTCTTTTTAGCTCTGCCTAATTTCTTTAGCAAAGAGACTAAACACAACTCACCCACTCTCTCACAGCAGCCACTTGTTTGTGGGGGGAGCCCTAACGAGTCAATCACAGAGTGCAGCAGGTCATTTCCTTAGAGTGCAGCGGAGTTTCGCAGCTCAAGGAAGAACATCACTGATGATTACTTTATCATTTCCTTGAAGTAATAATTATAATAATCATTTTGCAATGCAGATGCAGTAATGAAGTAATGATCATAAATGTTCCTTCTTGAGCTGCACTCTGTGATCAACTCATCAGGGCTCCCCCACAAACAAGTGGCTACTGGAGGAGAGTAGGTGAGTTGTTTTTAGTCTCCTTGCGAAAGAAATCAGGCAAAGCTAAAAAGAAGTTTGATGGCTAGTGCTATGGCTAGGCCCCTATATGTACTGTTGATGAAGTTTGGTGCTGTTCTGAGCATTATTTGTCACTAAAGAGTGGCGTTTTGGTGGAGGTTTGCGTGTGGAGATGCAGATTGCAATGTATTGCTATCCTGTGGTCGTTACTAAAGTTGGTATAAATAGAGAAGCAAGCAGTCGGCAACATTCATCTCTCGAGGGAGAGTCTAACTCGGTGTTACAGTGTGTTTGACCCTAACTGAATTTTTTGCTGGAATACAACTTTTAGCAGCACATATATAAACATACTCTCACTCCAACACATTCCCCTTACTCCGTTACCACTTTTATCCACAAGGTATGTGCTAAATCAGAGTTTTTGCTTATTTTCTTTGTTATCCTCCAAACTTCTTCCCCGCACTCCATTCCTTACATTTTCTGCTATTTAGACACTTTAAAATTAAGGAAAGTTCACTCTCCATCAGTACATTTACCCACACACACAAAGAGCAACAACACTAAGGAGTATCAGTTAACAGTTAACGGATCCAACCTTCATCTAAATGAGACACACTCCTCAGACGGAAGATCAAATACCCAAGAAAGGAGAGCGAGCAGGATGAATCACACATAGGTTTGATTGACACATAGCCCCAAGACAGAAGAAGTCAAAGTGTCCTTTCATCCAACAGATACTCCTCTCATTGTTCCTTCTTTTCATCCTTACTCACCATTTCAAACAAATAATGAACTCTTGAAGGTTTTTCTACTTTACTTTGCCTCAGATCGGTTTCATTTTCATATTCATTTTTCAGCCTATTGTTGGTGTACTGGATGCTCTCATTTGCTCACATTCATGCTTTTGCACAACACACACCTTACTTTCCCGTTTGTAGTCTCACCCCTCCCTCTCTGCGTTTCCTCCCACGCCAGGTTCACGACCGCACTGTTCCTCTTGAACGTCTCCCTCTATCATCTTTTTTTTTTTCACTGCAACAAATGATGGGTAAGCTGCGAGTCGTAGAGGCCTCAGTGGCACAATTCAAAGCAGCAGAGTTGAATGACAGCTTGCTGGCACTGTTTGTGACATTCAGCCATGCGAGCAGCTGATAACTAGTTGCCTACCCTCTTATTTAACTGGGAAGGGATTGATGGGAAGTGGGGTCTCATTTTCACAGAAGTGATAGCATGCAGGCTTGTGGAGGGGGAAGCATACGCACACTCACAAGTATTCACACACAAATGTGTGCATGAACAGAAACCCTCCTGCTTGAAAAACCACGCACACGTACACACTTCAGGGAAGCAGCAGCTGCCACAGTCTTCCACTGACTCTATTAGGACACAGTACCTCAGAGGAAAGAGCTGAAAAGACTGTAACTAAATAGAACTGGGATTTTTACAGCATCACTCTTGTCTGAACCCCCCTGAAGAAACCTCTGACTCTTTCTGACATGGATTTTTGCTTGGAGCAAGAAGTCGAACCTGTTTGAACTCTGGTTGAACTTTATAGCTGTGCTTCTCTTCACTTTGGTAACCCCAAAGGTAGAGAAAAGAGCTCTGTGTTGCTGAATTGTCATAAATATTCAATGAGAATTTTCTTCATCTGCAAATCTCAGACTTTCATGTAACTCCCAGTATCTACCTTTGTGTGTCTAACGGTGTGCAGTATTAAATCTGAGCCAGAAATCATGTTCACCATGGACAGCACCACATCAGCAAACACGGCCATCGACTTCTTAATGATTTTGTGGGTAGTCCAATTCTGAGTCTGTGTAGTTGGCAGCCAATGGATTTTTGTTTTCGAATGAAAAAACAAAAATCAGTCGACAAGCTGAAGATAGATAGATAGCTGGTGTATCTTGTCTTCTATAGATACATATCTATGCTAACAAGAGCCAAAGTTTTGTTCCAAGTCACAACTTCAGGGTTACAACAAAAAAGGGAATGAAACTTGAAACACAAGATTTCCACGCATGTATTTTGATCTTCGATTTCCATTTAAAGCTACATCACAGAAAGTCATATACTGGGTTGTTTTCTCATCGTCTGACACGCTCTTATCTTTTCAATTAAATTCAGATATAATGCAGATAAATACTTCAGATAATTACAAATGGGGCCCAGTCAACGTGAAAGTAAAAAGCATTGGTGCTACTGTAGATGCCAACAGACTACCAGCAAACACAAAGTTGTGAAAGTGACATACTCCAGGGCCCGAGGTAAACAGTTTCACGGCGCTACAACACACAGCAGGTCCTGTTTGACAAGAAACACTTCTGTTACAGACACTTGGCTCACTTTGTAAAAGCGGTTTACCTGTCCAGCAGAAAGGTTACAGGGTCTGTAAGATCCTGAAGTGTCCCCCATCGTTTATGCTGATGTTGACCCGGCTTCTTAGGCGCTTAAAAAGGATGTAGACCGGACAAGAGCTGTTAATCCGCCAGAGTCTCTGGTATTTACTTTTTTATTGCTTGTGTTTTCTGTACTTTAAGGTTGGTTTCTTCTGTCCGATGTTGTGGCACGCTAACTTTGTTTGGGACGTTTGCACGTTATTCAAGGACATGAGTGTGCCTCACAACACAGGGGAGCAGCGTCTGCCTCACAACCAATGAGGTTGTGGAGGCGGAGAATGACTTTGTTTACAGTCAGAAAGAGCGGGCCAAACAAAAAATTTAAAATGTTGACATAACAAGACACAGCGATATCGTTATATTACCAAATGTTATCAATAACTTATAGCTATTGACTGATATTAAAGGCTTTTTGTTGATACACCACAAAAAAGTTGCTTCCTCACCAGATTCCTACCTACCCCACCTTTAAGCCATTTTAGAAGTACAATTTTCTATGTATTTGTGCCATCATAGCCCCTTTGTATCTTACATCATCCTCTGAATTTACATATTTTCTATCAAGCTTCATTATTGAGTTCATTTAGAATTTTAGATCCATATAAAGCAGAGCTCAAACTTTCATATTTGTGTTTTGTTTGTATCTGAATATACAGTATGTTTATATATGTGCACAATGCATGCATGTGTGTGTACATATGTGTGTGCTTACAAATTTGCACTTCCATAAAAAGCTTTTTAAGGACCAATGTATGCGTCATTTAAAAGTTTGTTCAACCTTCAATTTGAATTTATATTCAAAAAGTGAAAACCGTGATATTACGGGGACCTTGAAAAGAGCGCTTTTGTTGCTGGTCTAATTTCTCCGTGCGTGATTCTGCCCAAGTGAAGTGAGGAAGAGACTGACAAAGATGGATGAGTGATGACACAAGATGTGTACAACAGATGTTGTGCTTCTTATTACATTTTTGTTTTACTTTCCTGCTACATTTTTCCTGACACCGAACACCTCTTACACATGTCTGATCACACACAAGCATTCACGAGCACCTACACGTGCGCAATATGGTTTCAAGTAGCAATGTTACAGCCAATCATTGTGGATGTGGGTCCACGAACAGCTTGTTGCCATCTGATTCACTGAGCAGCTGATGACTGTGTGTGTATGTGTGTGTGTGTGTGTTTGTGAATGACTAAGCACTTTCAGTCTGATTTACGACAACAGAGAGACCTGAGTCTCCCCTGATTTGTCTATTTAGTAACACGTTCGGCTTTACACACACACACATACACACACAAACAGAGTGACACACATGCAAATGAACAATGTCATGAGTAAAAACTTACCAGAAATAAGATTGATGTTCTTAACACTGTGCTCAACACCAAATACTCCCTCTAATGGTTTCAGTCTCTCTGGAAAACATTGAATTTATTGCCGCTTTCTAATTGCTGCACACATGTTCGCTGTGATAGGATGTAATAACACAACACAACCTGTCACCCTCTGACCCCTTAGGCGTCATCTTTTGGCCTTTAACCCCTACACTTTTGAACCCAGTCACAGATCTGATTAAACTCAGGCCATGTCACTTTTATTGGCCCCTCCCCTCCATATCTCAGCATGAGTCATGTTGAATGTGACAGGCCCGCAGCGAACACACATTAATGCGAGGAGTGAAAAAAGACCAGCAGAGAGGAAAACTGCAACGCACACACAGCAAGACGTCATGTGTAAAGCCATCTGTTACAGCCAGCTGGATGCTGAGGCACTCCTGTGTTCGCTATCAAAGGCTTCCTATCTTTCCACAAGACATGAGTGTGTGTGTGAGTGGGTGTGCCATCACCCCATACACTGCATGCACTGGGTTTTAGGCTATTTTTGAACCTGGCCATCACAAGTCACCCTTGACACCTGGTTCATGCCACAGTCTTGCTTCTAATCTGTCTGTGATTCTCTTTGTGCTTGTAGGCATTCCCTCAGTGAGTCATTTTGCCACCACAGAGTGGGGTAGGACATGAAGAGGAGTAAAAATAATAAAGAAAAGAAGCCTTTGCAGGAAATAGGGAAAAAATAAGTGAAGAAGAGAGGAGAGGAGAGCAGGGAGGGGGAGGTGAGTCTGAATTTATGTTTATTCAAACTGATTTTTAAGGTAATTTCTTCATGAATATGTGCTCTATATGCACTAAGTTGGTCTTATCTGTCTGCAACAGATGAGTTGTGGAGCAAAATGCAGAAATGAGAAGAAAATTGTGCTTATGAAAGCATACTTCTTGGGGGAAAAATGGCATAAAATGTTGACTTTTTATACCTTGTCATTGGTCTGCACTGTTAAGCAAAATGGTACATATCCCTTGGTTCATAAAGATGCACCGTTGTTGGTGCTGTTGTACCCACACTCCCAGTGTTCAGCCTGATTTACACTTCACATCCATCCATCCATCCATCCATCCATCCATCCATCCTTCCCCACCCATCCATCCATGCATCCATGCATCCATCCATCCAGTTTGATTGTTGCACTGGTATAGGATAGATAAGAAAAAAAATTTAAAATGTGAATTTTTGGGCAGTTTCTACAGCTGATAACCTAATAAATGAATATTGGATGACTTCTAGGTTTATGAAATAATGGTACCATTACAGGAAATACCCTGTACTGCTTGAGACATGAGATCTGGTAATTCTTAGTGTATCACTTAATACACATTTGCAATAATCTGAAATCCCAAAAGTATATCAACCTGTTTTGCTAGAAATAAATGTTTTTTTTTTCTTCTGTCAAATAAGTTTCTTTCTTGGGCTTTGATAGACTGTAGACCTGATTCTAAAATCTAGTAACGAGGCCCAGACTCAACACAATACTATATTCTCAGGACCACCAGAAAGGAAGCACTATTCAGCAGACACCTTCATCTACTCACCAATCCATCCATCCATCCACTTACCCATCCATCCAACTATCCATCCAACTATCCATCCATTCATCAATCCATCTACTCACCCATCCATCCATCCATTCATCTACTCACCCACATATCCATCCATCCATCCATCCATCCATCTCCTTACCCATCCATCCATCCATCCATCCATCCATCCATCTCCTTATCCATTCATCCATCCATCCATCCAGTTTGATGGTTGCACTGGTATAGGATGGTATGGACCCAAATCCTACGTTAAGGATATGGTCCTTAAAGGAGGCTGCTTGGGTTCAATCTCATCCCATGGCCCTCAGCTACTTCCCCAATCTCTGTTTCAACGTTCCTTTTTGATCCATCATCCTTTTCATACCCTATACCCCCATAAAATTTTAAAAAATGCATTAGAAAATTTTTTTTTTTTTTTTGGTAAAGATAAAAAATTAAAAAAACCTGCTTATTAACAAAAATGTATTCTCTCTTTGCCCTTCAAATATGCCCATGAACAAAAAGTTCTAATAGTGTCACATGATTTTTTTTTTTATGTTAGTCGACAGACTGTAGACCTGATTCTAAAATCTAGTAACGAGGCCCAGACTCAACACAATACTATATTCTCAGGACCACCAGAAAGGAAGCACTATTCAGCAGACACCTTATCTGAATGGTACAGTGTTGAGTGTGTGAGTCGAACACTCGAGCTTTTGCATGCTGGGGTTATCAAGTTGGCACCTCCCTTCACAGATGTTTCATTGAATTAAACCCATGACACCTCCAGAAGGCTCAGCAGTGATTTCCAACATCCCAGTCCTGCACTTACACTTCAGAAAGACAAAAGCTGGCCTGGGTATTTTCAGGAAGATAAAATATTATTTCACTTAATTTCACTCAGAGTTGAGTGGTTATAAAATTTTATATCTGAAATCAGGTCTACAGCTACTAATCATTTTGATATTATGGACTCATTTCAGTGGGTTACAATGTACAGCAATATGGCCTGCATGAGTGGGTAAAAAAAAGAAGAGATTTGAGGAAGATGCAGTTAAAGATCTGAATATGATAATGACAGCTGTCTGTGAATAGGATAAAATAAAGGGTGAAGCTCTAACACCTTGACTTTTATAACATACACCCACAAATGAGGTAGTGATCCAAACATGTTAGGTTGTAGCCTAGAGCATTGTTGTTTGCAGTTCATACCTAGGTTCAGAAAAATTGTGTATTATTACACTGACACCATAATTGACACTACATCATAGAAGTAACACTGGGTCTGTTGAAAATAATAATTTTTCCAATGCAAAATAATAATTTTTCCAATGCATTGCGACTACAAGCTCCTCTGTCTCTGTCATGCTACGTGTTGTTCCAAAGCTCAGATCTCATTTCTTCCTTGTTAGTGTAACTGTTAAAACATATCTGCCCTTAAGTTAGGTTTTAGTCACTGAGCCATCTTTCATGTGTTTCATATTCCCCTTTAAAAATGATCTAAGACTTGGCATACATCTTATAATTTTATAAATGATAAGGTAAAATGTAAACTCACACTGTACATTAACCTCTTGCAAGACTCAATCAAAGCTTGGGACTTAAGTGCTCACGCTGTGCAGTCCAATTGCCAAGGTTGACTTGAGTCATCTGACAATTGTTGGCAACGTTTTGTTCTCCCACGAAAAACTCCCACAGAAGGACACGCCAGAAATTCACCTTACTGGTTGGGAGGAGCTGATCAGACTGTTATTGGCCCCCATGTCCCTCATACAGTGTTGGAAAAAAGTTTGGAATATTTGTCAATTCAACCCCAGCCTCATGTTTAACGCGGTCTGCTGCTTTCTGGAGAATTATTCAAAGACTTTTTAATGTTCCCTGGTCTCTGTGATATGTTTTTGAAATTCACATCAAACTATTTTGTTTCTCAAAAAATTGTAGGGCGGTCACCTCATGATTCACAAAAAGCCATAGAAATAACGCATAAAATCATGAGTCGGTATTTAATAAATAAACGGCTGTAATTTTAAATTGCCACAAAATACGTGGACCATCTTTGAAAGCAACATCAAACATAACAAGACGATAACAACAATACAGTCAGTACTTTGTGTGACCGCCTCTAGCATGGTACAATGTGCGTACACGTCTGGGCATGCTGGTCACTAGGTTGGTAAGAGTTTCAACCGGGATTTCTCGCCAGCATTGGGTCACAGCCTGAGTCAGTTCAGCCATGTTTGTTGGAGGATCATTCACGTTACACGAAACACTGAAGAAAATATGCCAAACTTTTTTCCAACACTGTAAGGTCAACAATGAGCAACAGATCTGAAATTAGGCCAGTCTTCAGAATCAGCTGTAAAATCACCACTTGTGTGTTTCAGACTTGGCTTCAATATGCATTGTGTATGTTTGACCTTAGTGGGGAAGGAGAAGGAATGAAAGCTGTCGATGAAAGTGAAAGACAGTGAGGGACATACTGCCCAAAGTGTAACCAAACTGTCCCCTGTGAATGTTATAATGGAGATACAATTCAGACAATGAGCCTGCATGTAGAGCTGGATAACCACATCACCACACAAAAACACAAAGCAGATTTTTCTAAGAGCATATCACAATTTGTTTTGATCCATACAAATCACCTTAGCGTGTGCTTTTTCTGATGTGCCGGTTGATAAAGGATGGAGCTTGCTGGAAAGTGGCCTCCAGGAGCTTTGTGATGTTTGTTCTTAATGGCATAAAACCCATTCCAGTCTCATACTGTGCATCAGATGACAAAGATATCCCACAAATACAATAAGGTAAATAAAGAGAATATCTTCCAAACAGTGACAGAGACATGACTCAGATCATTCCTGAGCTTTTTGAATAGTGTTATCATGATGTGAAAGGTCTCTTGACCTTCACTCGCTGCTCAGAGGGAAAAGTCAAGGAAACCATTCAGAGAAAAGAAAGAAAGAGAGAGGAGAGAGACAAGAGACTCCAGGCAGACAAAGATTCAGATGCAAGATGTCTGGAGTGAGATATCTCAGTGGATCTCTCAGTGAGCCAGATCCTATCACAGAGCCCAGAGATGTGAGAGCTAATGTATCCTGGCATTAAAATAAAAACTTTGCTCTGAAAGTGCTAGTGCAAGCCTGGCATTTTGCCTCAGACGGAAAAATGAAGCCGAGGGTAAAAGTTGTGTAAAGAAAATGCTGGTGGACAGATGGATTGAAAAAAAAAATTCTGAAAACCACTGTGTGTGAAGGAAAATAAAAGTAGACATAACTAGAAGAGAAAGGTAACGGGCAAGTCAGCTCAGCAAAAATCACTGGAAAGCACATGGCACAAAGTGATTCCATGCTTACTTGATGGAATAGATAAAAAATAAACTGAAAAATAACATGAATGATCATTTTGAAAAACAGTCGATCAACTTCACAACAACTTCAATAAATGTTATGTTTCACAGGCTTTTTGACACTTTCTTTGCATGCTTATAAGGCAAGTCATTCATATGAAATGAAAGTCCCACTCCGATCTTTTTCTTTTTTTTTTACCACTTAAAGTGTTATCAGTGGTTTTTAAATAGTGATGATGAAGTTTTTAGCCAAAATCACGTTATCTGTGTCATTCTTAAGGTCTTTTCATCTGCAGCAATCCAGTAGATCATTAGCAAATCGCCTCTGAGTTGTGGGCGGAGACAGCGCTGCTCTGCACACTCCTCTTTACGTTAGCTTGCAGCCCAACATTGCTGGTGTAGTAGAAGTAGCAGGTAAAACAGGAGCTATTGAGCTCTCAGACACTAATGTTTTTAGGGGCATGATGTAAGCTAATATCACAATTAGCTTTCTTACTGTCGCTGCCCGATCCAAAACCCAATTTGTGTTGCGCGTGTGCAAAACATACGTCACTTCCTCCCTTGGCATTTCAATGTATTTTACGGCAGTGAGTCGCTACCTATCCGATCCGTACTGCGCAGGTGCAAATTTACTTCACCTTAAAAACTTTATTTAAATTACCGATCGATTCAGGAACAAGCTGGCAATGTGACGGGCTCGCTAGCAGGAGGCTCCAGAGCTAATGCCGAGGCATTCGCCAGAGCTCCTGCCCAGCAGAATTAGACCTTTTGGATCACAGAGATCAGCGCCACCCGGCCAAAATGATGGTTCTCTGACTTTTCAAAGTATCAAGGGGGGATTTATATCATTTTTTTTATTAATTACATTTATTAACAGCCTACACATTATGAACAATGAATTTTAGCGTTTTTATACAGCGTACAATTTTCAACACTGAAATATATAATTGCAATTTTACAATTTAGCTGGAGTAGGAACTAGGGATGCACGATATTTATCGGACCGATATAATATCGGCCGATTTGGGGGGAAATTACGTCATTTTTTATCGGTCCGATAGGTGCATTTTTCCGATAAAAAGATCCGATATATTAATGAAATTACGAGTAACGTTTGCAGGCGGAGTAGCCGCCCGTCCGAGACGCGCTGGTTACGTCATCTATCGCGCCTTACTCGCAGGTCCCAAGCCTGACCCCGTCACTACCTGACAGATAATAAAATGTCTTCACCAGCATGGTCGTTTCTCTCAGTGGCAGAAGATGACAACAGCATTGCTATATGCAAAACCTGTTCAGCGAGGATTCCGAGAGGAGGAAAGAAGACGTCAAGTATTAACACAGCGAATCTGATAGCTCATCTGAAAAGTCGCCATCGCGGCGAAGCGGTAGTAAAAGAATATGAGACAGCTGCCGAAGCTGCTAGCGGTACTAAAGCTAAGACAACAACACTACGGAGGATCGATGTCCCCATTCAGCAGGCGTTTGAAAACTGCAAAAGCTTCTCAAGAGACAGCAAAAAGGCTAAAGCCATTAACAACAAAGTGATGGAGTTCATAGCGGTCGACAACCAGCCTTTTTCCGTCGTTGAGAACCCGGGTTTTCGCAAGTTCATAGCACACTTGGAGCCACGTTACACTCTCCCAAGCCGCCGCTTCTTCTCGGATGTGTCTCTTCCTGCACTCTATGATATTGTCGCCACATACATTCACAACCTGATCGACAAGAACGGACTACACGTGAGTTTTACCACAGACATATGGATGTCAGATGTTAGTCCGGTCAGCATGCTAAGCCTAACGTCTCATAATAGCTCCTTTACAGTTTACAGTTCTGTTCAACAGTTCAGGGGATCAAATGAAGTTCTGCTTTTTGCTCTGTTATTGTTATTTATAGCAAATGACCACATTTGAAGAGCCAAAAACTTTTGTTTGTTGTTCTAGATAGGCCAGAGCAAAAAAAACATCAGTTTTCAATCGCTGCATCCTGCACAAACTGCAGATTATATGAAGATTATAGTAAATGTAAAAATATGAATTTATCGGTTATCGGTATCTGTATCGGCCATGAGAAGAAGAAAATTATCGGTTATCGGTATCGGTTGAAATTTTTCATATCGTGCATCACTAGTAGGAACCTTTAATCTTAAAACTGGGCGCCATTCTCTTGACTTGCTGGCACTCTGCTTCAGTCGGGGGAAGCACTCCGTTCAGGAGAAAAGAAAAGCATGTGGCTGTTCATACACTGAAGCATTGATAAACTAAAGCATCCTTTCTAACTGTAGTGAGCTCGCTGATGCTGAAGCTGAAGCTGTCGCAAAATGCGAGGGGTAAAGAAATGCTGCGCTATCGCAAAGATGACTAGTAGAGGAAGTGACATACATTTCACACATGTGCAGTACAAATCGGGTTTCCAGGAAGGATCAGGTAGCGACACTTTCAAACACTGCAATTCGCCAACACTTGTTCCGCGATCGTCCTCTATTTCTCAGAGACTGGTCTGCATAGCGAGACTCCAGGGGTGGAGTTTGCCATATAAACATCGTTTTCATGGGGGGGGGGGTGTCTTTAATGTACTCTAGTGATATGGTGCCAATGCTCATGCGGAAGAATCATCATCATGCAGCCTGTCCTGTCTTATGTAAATCTATTGTAAATTGTAAATATTATGCCATTGAAAAAAAAAAAATCCAGTCAGAGGTGCCAGAGCCTCGTTCAGTTCAGCTTGTTTGACTTAGCAGGCACCTCTCCCCCCACCTCTCCCTGGAATAGGCTTGTGACTGCAACCTTTCCCAAGAGACCAGTGAAACCTATCAAAACACATCAGAGCCAAAATGCTTCAAGTGTCCAAACTGGTTAATATCTATGCAGGGTGTCGGCAGGGCCATGCCAATGGTGCCTCTCTGTCAGAGCCAGAATGGCGGAGATGAGAGATGGTGCATGACTGCAGTTTCACTAAATGATCGAATTTTGAAGGCAGAGTGGTGACACTGTGGAGAGGGATGGCTCTAGCTCAGCATCAGTCACAGTGCAGATGACAGACTGGACGCTTGGTAAAGTGCTAGACTGGGGTAAGAAGAGGAGGGAGGGAAAGTAGAGATGGGAGATGGATAGAAAGTAGAAAAGGAGGAGATATAAAATCTGGAAGGCACTGAAGAAAAAAACATTAAGACTGATTTAAGAAGTAGTGGAAGAAACTTGTAAATGAAGAGAATTGGCAAATAAAAAGAAATGACTCAAGTAAAGGAAACTGATTCTGATGCGAGGGAGAACAAGAACAGATATCATGTAGGCACACAACATAAGTATTTCATAATGTCAGGTGTCAAAATCTTACAAGAGTATGATACTGCAAGGGAGAAATGGGAGTGTCAACTCACAGCAGAGTTCAGGCTTTAAATTGCAGAGGAGGCAAATATGATGATAATACACACAGGCTGTCTCAGCACGTTTGAATAACACTTACTCCTGGAGAAAAAAGAAGTGGGTGAATGAAACCAAAACCTTGCAAGTCAAAGTAGTGTCGCATATTATCAGAATTTTGTAGAATTGTCTAAATCTGTTGTGTGATAAACTTAAAACTTAGTGCAGCATATCCCAAACTGTTGAAGAAGAGCGTGGGTTTCTTGTGGCCGAGACGCGTCTCTCTAGTAAACAAATATATGTCTTGATAGTGATTTTTTTGTTGTTTCAGACTTGTCTCTGTTTTCAAATCTGTATGATAAAATATATGAGATCTTGTTTTAATCAGAAAGCATCAGGGGAAAAAAAAGATTTACTTTAAGTTGCACACTGTGATACAGGACAAACAAGATGCATAATTAAAGGAAGCCCACTGTGAAAATGCAACTCCACAAAAAAATTATATATTTATTTACTACTTAATTATTTGCCAAATAAGTTTTGCGGGGAAACAGTATTACTGCCTGTATTTCGCTCAGTGGAAAGGTTGTGCAGCACAGAGAGAGTTGGCCGGGGTGCATTGCAGGTGCGCAGAGGGTTATGCAACTGATGATAAATCATAAAAACAAAACCAGATTCCAAAATGAATCCTCTCTAGTCCTCGCCAGAGAAGAGATTCATCTCAGATAATTAAACAAAAATGGCCAACAACTAACAAAAGAGTCTTTGGACGCCACATAGGTTGTAACAGGTATTATTAAACTTCATAAATTAAAAAGCTACGCACTTATTATGTAATCAACAGCCAAATAAAACAACACCAAAGCAGACAACACAAAGTTGTGTACACAAAGTAAACTCCTCAGCAGCTGCAGCTGCAGCCTAAGACCAACACAGTTCAGCAATAAATTTTCACAAACAACATCTGAGCAAACACAGGGTGGTGGCCTGCTGTGATTGTTGACTGTTGTCTCGGTTGGAAGAGTTACACGTGCCCAGAGAATTGTTCTCAACAGAGTCCTCCACAACCTGTTCAAAGTTTGATTCCTCTGCTAATTATTCTCCAATTAATACTCAAACCCGTCCACTCAGCCTTTCATTGCTAATGTGCTACTCAAAGTTATTAAACAGTACATCTTACTTGAGAAATGAAAGTACGACAATATTTCATACTTACAAGTTGATTACACTCTTAGAGATTCCATGATGAGAAACTTAATAAACATACATCACTGGGTTAAATCCACATTAGTCCACTCACATATGTCTGCTGGCTTTTGAGCATGTTGTTAAATAATGTTAAGTACAACAAAACTTATTTATAGTTTATCTTATAAGACACGAGCTGATACACCAGCACACCAAAGCCCAAAAGACATCCTTTACCTGTACATTTTCTGCTGATAACGGCAAAAAGGTGCCATTGAGCCACACAACAGGAACAGCAAAGGTTCAAGATAGCATTTTAAAATTACATGGCAACAAGGTTGTTGCATCTAATAACATTTTGCCCTTGTAGAAGCTGTTTTTAGTTTATGTCAAAATCTTTTTTTAAGCAAACAAAAGTCTCAGTTAATATTATTAATTGTAAAGACCAAAAAAATATGATTTAAAAGTAATTAGATGGGTTGTTTGGGTTGATTAATAGATTCAGATACACATGTCTAGACAATGTTTGGTTATGGGTGGAGTCTCAATCTTTTGTTCGTTTCAGGTTGAGATGAGCAGCATGTTTTTTGACTGTGAAACAGGAGCTTTTTGTTCTTTTCTACAGTTTTTGAGTTGTGAGCTCTATGGAACCCACAATCAGCCAAATAAACGCAAAACTACAGACCTGTGAGTATTGGAGTCATTTCATGAATGAAGATGGACACGTGTCAGGACATCTGTGGGGCTCGTCTCATCAAAGTGGCTTTTGAAAACTGTTAGAGAAAAATCTGCCACTACAGCCACTGATGACTTCTGATGGTGTATGGTCTTGAAGGTTTGTCTCTCCTTCCTTCCTTTCCTTTTTTAAGGGTCAAAGTGGCGCTCAAAAAGAGGGGTAAGGAAAGGAGCAAAATTGAGAAATGAGCTTCAACTAAGATTTGCAGACAGTCGTGTGAAAGAGAGAAGTGTATGCACTAACACAGAGACGTAGGAAAGTAAGAAAGCTACTCAGAACAACATTTCTATAAAGGGGGGGTTTCTTCTCATAACCTTCAAGTTAAACAATAAACTTTTCAATGCAGCTGAAAGTTTCTTTTCTCTTGTTGCAGGTGTTCTTACACAACCCTTTAAGCCCCGCCTCTCTACACGTACCTTTTGCCAATTCTGCAATGTACAACAACCTGACGTTGCTTATACACGGTAATCCAAGCAGAGAAAATCCTGTTGCTTCCTCAAGCATTTGTCCCACAGCTCTCTCTGTACTGTAGATACCAGCAGACACAGATAGCAGCAATCTGTTGAAAGCTCTTCCCCCCTTCCACCCCCCTTTTCTAATCCACAATCTGTCAATAATGGGTTGATGTCTGACAAGATGTGCTGGAGAGAAATAGGAAGCCCATTGAAATGTTACAAAGGTTTGATGTGCCATGTCAGGTACTCCCCTCCTTTAACATGACACCCTCTTCAAGCTTGGACTGCTGAGCGGAGAAATGCAATCTCTTATCTTGTCACTCTTATTGCAGTATGTGTGTGTGTGTGTTGAGGGGGGGGAGCTGACAGAAAAAGGAAAGAGCAAAAAGCATAAGAAAGGTATATCGTGAGAGAGTAGTAAGATGGAAAGGTGTGGAGGATTGTAACAGCAGCTCGGAGAGATGGAGCAGGGTAGAAGCAGGAGTTTTTCAGTTAAGTGTTGAGCAGTAATCCCATTCTACACAGTTCAGAGTGAAAATCTAGAATACCGCAGCAGCAGGGAGGGAGATATAACACATAAAGTAGAAGGGAAGAGGAGGAAAGGTTTAAGAGAGGGAGGTGAACGTATTGAATGAAGGGTGATATGGACTCAGACCGGGGAGGCATGGAAGAAGAGAAAGTGAGAGCGCCGTATACACAGATTTTTCTCTCTGGCCATCTTGTAGCGAGAGCTCCTCATCACAGGCGAGACCAAGCCTGCTTCGTGTTAAAAAAGATAACACAGCAAATTTAATCCCAAACTGTACTGCATCTCATAACTCATAATGTGCTTCACATTCAGCTAGTATGTGAGCAGGGCCTGGCTGCTGCTGCCGCTGCCGCTGCTGCAGCTCCAGGTCTAGATCCAAAATCGGAAACAGACAAGAAAAGCAATATGTTTTAATGAGCTCGGGTACCTCAGAGAGAGAGACTAAATTTCTCCAAGTCCCAGGCTGAAAATATATACCAAGTGCTGCTAACAGCCCTCGCCTGACACTTGTATTACACGGAGGCCTCAAAATTAACATGCTAAGCAAAGACACACACGCATACTGCCACACACACACACACACACAGCATTTGACTCCTGTTCGGTATTTCCACGGTGGGAAGCTGAGCTAACCGCAGCATGAACATAAAGCCCTTGGCAGGCAGCTCAGAATGATGTAGGGCCTTGTAATGAATTTGATTTCATCCTGCCATTTCAGGCAATAAACATACAAGCTTAAGACTCATGGGGCTGTAAATTTGAACCAAGGCGCTCTTTTCAGCTGAGAGCATGAATATTGGTTAGTGAGTGGTGTGACATGCTGACAGGAGAAAAGGTTGGACAAGTGGATTGGATGAGTGTGTCCCTGTATTTGTGTGTCAGGTAGCTAAGTAATTCTATTTTACTGCAGCGTACGTCTTTATGGTTTGTGGTCAAAGGCAATAGACATTGAATTATGTTCATATTTTTGGTAGGCACACAAATAAGGTATTTCCCAAATGTACGTTTTTATTTTATTATAATTTTTTTTTTTAACTTGGAACACTTTCAGAAATAAAGGGGGTTGCTCTAGTGCACACGTTAGCAGGTATTTTGCAGAAGGAGGTCAGCAGATCTGATCCAGTGAGAGATCAGCACAGCCTGAGACAAAATGCAGAAACGCTGAAGATATTCCTGTTTTGAACAGATTTATCCAACTAATCTTACAGCAGAATCAGAAGATCTGTGCACTGTCTGTGTACTCATACTGTGTTTGCTGAGTAGCATTGGTACTAGTACGAGGAAATTTGCCATTTGCTAACTATGATGATTTTACTCTATTGAGTTTTAATTGAATCTGTCTTGTCCTTTCCCTTGTCTCTTGGTTTGGTAATTTGTCTTTTAAAAACAAGATTGCTCTTAACCAAATTGGCAAGCTCATAAGTGAGCAACAACATAAAAAATGTTTTCCATGACTGTTCTCAACCTTTAAACTCAGAGTTCCAACTGCTTCACTCTTGGTATCACTTTGTTGCTCCTAAAATGAGAACAAAACGCTACAGAAATACATTTGTACCTGCGGCTACACAAACACAAGACGATGCACTTTATCGTCTAATGTATTACTTTAAGTAGACTCAAAGTCACTTTAGCAATTTTGGAGTTTTATTTCAGAATGGTTGTGATTTAGAGCACTTTATCATGAATTGGTTTTAATCTTCAATGTTTGTTTTGTCATTTTATTGTCAGCTTTTAATGTGATTTTGTGAACCGTGTCCTGAGTTGTGAATCATTGTCGCTGTTTTGCCCTTTTGCTGTTGTTTTTGGACCTGTCTGCAAAGCAAGTTTTCCCTTTGGATACTAATAAAGGACCTTGAGCCTTTATACTTGGACGCTTTATTCTAGGGATGTCCTGATACGATATTGATATCAGTGTGGTATTGATATCGGTCCGATATCAGCAAAAAAACGAATTATACCAGCCTACATTTAAAATCTCCAATAATAGTACGCTGATACAAGCACTCTGCTCTGACACCTCTATCTACCATGCTGAGTCTACGTAATTACAATAACAGCGTGTACTTTATGCTACGTTCGAGTTACCTTGGAAGTCAGAAGTCAGAGCTGGGAATGACGTCACACCCGAGTTACCAGCATTTCAGTTACCAAGTCAGAAAAAAGCTAAATCGGAGGCGGAAACAAGATAGCTACATTTACAAAAGTTCTGCCTCCGATTTAGCTTTTTGTTTCAGTCCGAAAAAGATGTTACAGCTGAGTGAAAAGCTTCATTTTAATCATTTTATTATTTAGTAAGTGTATTTGTTTTTCTTTTTGTAAAGTGGATCACTACATTCAAAATATAATAAAACACAAATATTTAAGATAATTATGTGGAGGCAGAGAGAGAGAATGGGAAGAGTAGTGGATCATCATTGACACTGATTGGAGCAGAATCTAACGGTAGGGGGAACAGAGGTGTATGCATGGGTTTAAGAGTATCCACAATAAACTGAGCTTTGGCACCACACCTACTACGTCTCATCAGATGAGAAATGTACAGTTTTATACTTACACATTAAAGATTCAAATTAACCTCAAACACCTCTGTCAAATAAAAGAGACTTTTCTTCTGCAACATTTTCGAACATTGCAGAATCCCATCACCCATAAATAATTCACATGCAGCAGTTGCACTAAACCAGACTGTTATGACTCCGATTCAAAAGAACGACCTATTAGTCTCACTGCACTGCACACATTTCTCTCTATTACGATGAAAAAACTACAAAACAGAAGCTCAACCTAAATTGCTGTTGATCTGTGGTCTTGTTTCACTTTCCAGAATTTGAAATCACTTAACAGACCCATTATAGTCAGTGTCACATAAAGAAGCCAGATGCTGTTTTATTTTAATCTTTTTTTCCCCTCTCTTTTTCTAAATAAGAGAAAACATAAGCAAATGGTGAAATTGGCAGCTTTATAAACAATCTGTGATGCTGTTTGTATGTGAAACTTTATATTTAAAGCTCGAACATCAAACTGTGCATGTTATTTACACCACATTTTATTATTCACACTTTTAAAGGAGTTTACATGTGCATTAATGTACAAGTTACCTCTTCTTGAACCAATTCTTAGCGACAAACACACATCAGTTTATGCTATGATATTCTACTAAAGGTTTCTTTTTTCCCCCACAAACCTTAAGTATCACTGTAAGCCGCTCTTGCCTTAAACTGTCTGAAACACTGAGTTCAATGAGGCATGTGGTAATGTGTAGAAAGAAGTGTATTAGTGTGGGTTTATCTCCTTGTAATTGTCAATAAGTAGAAATGTGCCGGTGGATTTGTAAGCTCTACTGCACAGTGTGTTTTCTTGTGTGTGTTTCTCTTGTCTTTGTCATCACTAATGTATTTTAATGTGATGCAGCCTGAGGGTCCTTTCTGTCTACATTAAATGGCTGTCTTTTAAGTCTCTTTATGCCTCGCATTGTGTCCCTTTAAACAAGCGCGCTCGCATACTATCACAAACAGACAAACAGGGCTAGCTGGCACTGACCACATAATCAAATCTACAAAAAAACATAAACAAATTGGCTATCGCGCATCAGCATGCAAGCTCATTTATGCGCATTCCCATGCACAAATGCACCAATAAACACACACACACACAGAGACACTTATACATCCCAAATAACAAATTACCCACCCAGACAGAGCGAGCGAAACCCAAAGGAACTTGACTATGTAATTTTGTCTGAATAGCAGCAGGCCTCTGTGGTATAATGGCCACAATCCGGCTGAAGGCTGTTTCATTTCAGTATCAAAGTGGCTGTAATGAAGGCTGAATGACACTGGGGAAGGGCACAATAGCTCAGATATTGGTTCTAATTAATGTAGCTGATGTTAGAAACATGAATTAGATCTTTCTGAGCCCAGCAATAGATGTAATTAAGTCTACACTCCTTTCTTTTTTTTTTTTCTTTTTTAACCTTTCTCCTCTGCATATTACCTTTTGTATCATATTCAGCATTTTGGTGTCATCTTTTCACTCCCGGCGAACTACCTGTAGATCTTGTTGTGAGGAGAACATATCACCTTGTCTCTGCATAAAATCTGTCCGTCTTTTCTGACTGCTTGTTTCCTTTACAAATGAAAAGCAGAGCCTGTTTGACACCAGCAGGATTACCTGTGCAGTTATGATTTTCTCACCTTTGTTCTCCACAGTGCCCAACGCTGTACATCAGCATTCTGGGGGAAGTGTAGCAGGCCTGCTGATTGGTGAACTGGGGTTTGCATAAACCAAATGAAGGGCCAATGCAAATTAATCAAGCCCAGACAGACCAGACTCCAATTCAAAGAGTGATAGCAGTCGCCCTTTGAATTGGAGCGTGTGAGGTGTTTCAGTCTGTTTTTGTGTTGATAGGAACAACTAAAAGAAGTCATTAGTGTATGTCCAATCCCACATGTGACTGTTGCTCTGTCAGTCATTCTCAGGTTTATCATGTCTGAAGAAAAAGAAAGGGAAAATGATTTTTACTGCAGCTTTTAAACTGGACATAACAGAGTACGTGCATAAAAAAGAGATAGAGGTTGAGTAAAGCAAGGTGCTGCACTTCACAGTCAGTGAGTTTACATGCACAGCTTAATCAGACTAAGCTCATAATTTGTTTTTTTCCACGAATCGGACTTCTCTCCTTGTCTGCATATACATGCAGCTGAGAAAATCGATGAAATCGAAAAATTGACATGACCGTGCCCTCCTCCCCAAGACTAGGGGACGATATGGGTCTATGTATCTGGTTGACCCAACAACAACAACAGCAGGTGCTGCTGGGCATTTTCGAGCAGGAAGATGGAGCATCGTACAGCAGTGTTTTTGTCATACATGATGTACACGCTACTTTTTCTGTAGGTGAGGTGCACGCTACTCCTCTTTTCTTTTTTTTGCGCACATGCATTGTCCAATCATACTCTGACTTCGCTGGTTACATGGTAGAGAAAATGGAATTCCAAACGCAATATCTGGGTGTCTTAATCAGAGTTCTAAAACTCCACTTATAGTCTGACTAAGGTGTTTACATGCACTTCAGTTGTCCAGTCTTAATCAGAGTAAGGCAATAATTCGATTTTCTTGAGTGTCATGTAAACGTACTGAGTGAGATCAATTCTAGTCTTCCATTGGGCCCAAAAGACCCCAATGGAAGTGAATCAGAGTTGACCAGTTGTGTTGTTGTATTACAGAGAAACTATTTACCTATACAAATCAATACATTTTCTCTTCACTGTATACCCCAAAAAATGTCTTGAACAAAGAAAAGTAGTATAAAAAAGAAGTTATGTAAAACATTTATTTACATCCACAACAACTGCATGCTTTGGGAAGGGCCACATCTTTTAGACTGTGCTTATGCAATGTAATCTTCATCTCCAATCAACACTACTGGTTTTATCCAGAGGGATCACGAGAATCAACGCATCATCAAAATTCAGTTTCTTTAACTTTCAAAAGAAGCATTTTTTTTAAGAAATATAAAAAGGTTTGTTTTTGTCGAAAACAACAGGTTGGCATTGAAGTGTTGGCTGGATGACTTCAACAAAAAAGGCTGTAAATACTAGAAACCAGTAAAGTCTATATGAATGTAATGTACTGTGAGCAGATCTTTGCCTTTGATAATGTGACCCACATAATAACGTAAAGGTGGTGCTTAAATACACTAAAATGATTTCAATTACACTTCTTTCTTCTATAAGTGTAAACGGATGTACAACAACAAGTACCCACCTTAAATCATCCACCTGAAACATGCAAAGAGAGAGGTTGCGACACGTATACAACAATACTTAAAGGATTTTTCCAAGTGATAGTTAGCAGGCATGGTCAGGCATGTTGACAACATGTCTAGCAGAAATGGCTCAAACCGTTTCAGTTCATGTCCTGTTTACTCCAGATGGCAGAGCCTCCTCCCTAACATGTTTGTGCATCAATAGGGCATTGTTCATGAACTTCCTGGAATCGGCCCATAGGTCTACCTAAGACATTTGATCATTTAAATGTATGCAGTGACGAGCAAACATGTCTCCACATAATTACACTGATAAGAAACATACAGAATATAAAAGGTTCCTTATCAGTGTGATTATGAGGAAACATGTTTGCTCGTCACGTATGATCATCATGAGAACTTATGTTATTATAGGTGCATGGAATTTTAAATAAATCATATACACTCTAGAGCAAGAAAGGAAGGAAGTCATTTTGTGTTTTGGAGTCACACAGTTTCCTATCATAATTACATTAATACAGTTTATAGCTTTAATTACTTGTTTACCTATATAGATGACAGTTTCTAGGCACAGTCCATCTCTTCAGGGCTAAAATCTAAGTCATATACTCCAGTGAAAACCAATTCAATATTTTATGAAGCAATTGTGTGTGTTGCTTGTGATTTATGCATGAGCAGAGCTTGTTCTGAAAACATATCCTGCTTATTAAAAGAGCCCGTGGCTCCCAGGTGTCCTCCGTCTTTAGTACAAGCATTGAAGAAAAAAAGTCAGGTGAGGTTATTTTGGTACAAATCACTGCCTTGATTAAAATGTAACTTTTGTATGGCAAGACTAAGACAGTTTCAATTTTCTAGGGATAAACAGGCTGAACACTCATTCAATTTACATTTTAAAATATGACAGCCACTGTAAAAAGTGGACGATCACAAGGATGCAAACTGTGTATTAAAACAAACAAGCTAAGCCCCAGATAACAATAGATTGTGAGGCATACACCCTTTTATTTTGGTTGAAAATTTTAGATTTTCTACAGTACAAACTGATTTCAGCAATAATCCTAGAACTCACTTTCCCTGGTTCAAAAACATGGTTATAAATATTCAATTTTACATCTTCCCTCACTGTCTTGTAATAACCCTCTGTAGTATTAATATACAAAACAGTCCAGTATCTTAACAGATAGGAAAAATGATTCGTTGTTATGTTTTCTTCAAAGCCTTCAATTTCCTTTTAGTAGCGCCTTTCATTTCTGTTTGATGTCTTTTAATCTGCAGGGAGCACATGCACCCATTACTAGTCAGGGAACAAACAGGAAGGACATGTGTTTTGAGGGCACATGATATCTAAGAAAGTAAAGCTGGTTGTGTCTTATATCGTGTCCTAATCACCGCACCAATTACCAAGAAAAAAATAACTACAAAGACATGTGTGATAGGCCATTATTTTCTTAATTAAGCAGCTCTGTCATCACCACATGGCTTGTATCTTAATTCAAAATGACTGATAAAAAGTCAAACAAAGCAATCTGATGATCTGATGCGAAAACATGGAATCTAAATGTGATATAGCCTTGTTTATATGTAATGCAGCAGTTATAGGAAAATGTTTTCAGTGCTAATAAGGAATAATGTCATTGATGTTACTGTGAAGTTTCTTGGTGTTGGGTTCATACAACATTTGAATACTTGTAGAAATTACCAAAATAAGTTCTGTAATAAATTACCCCAAAGCTACTTGACCACTGACAGAATTAACCCTTAAAGAGCCACTATACCTACTGACAGGTCTTAAACATTGGTGGCTGAAAAAATTGATTTTGCATTCTGGATAAGTAAGTTTATAATGTTGTCCTGCTAGAACTCTCCAATGTAGACTTCACAATGCCAAATTACTTACTTTATATTTTTTTGGTTGGTAAATGGTAGCGTATCTTGTTTCCATGTCATGAAAGTAGGTCCTGTGTTTCATTTATATAACACTGTGTGCTTTCATATACTCATATTACGCACTTCTTTTACCACTTAAGCTGGTAAAAGGTCAGTGCTTTGGCTTTATGGGCATTGGTGTTGGGAAACAGTTTCTCTGTTCCCTTCTGTGTCACTTCTTTGTGTTTAATCCTTCGTGATTCTTTAGATCTTGGGTCTTGCCTCACCTTGATCTTCTTGTATTTCATTATGGATCTTTTTTTAACCTTCACTGTTTCTTCTTGTGTCTTCTTGTGTTTTTGTCTCCTTGGATTTGGGGTGGACCTTATCTTAAGACATTTGCATAAAATTTACCCAGTGAGCAACAGACGGCTATTAGACGTCTATTTTTTTTTTAGACCTAATTTCAACCGTCTAGATTCTGTATATTTTTAGACGGAATTTAGACGTTGCACTTTAACCCATAATTCTATAACTATTTACTTTAAAAAGCAACTGTGAGTTGCAGAACTGATCTCCAAGTACTTAACCAAAATAATCATGATAGCCGTTGGGCAATATACAGTGTAGTATAGATATAAGCCAGATTTAGACTTGGTCTAAACTTGGTCTCAATTTAGACGTCTAAAAAACGTTTATTGTTAGACCCTTGGTAGCCTGATTTTAGACCAGTTGTCTAGGCTACATTTAGACGTCTATTAGACCTCTTTTAGACCATAAAATGCTCAGTGGAAAGTTCTTCAAAGATGGATAGATTGTTCTCATTCTGCATTTTGGGTCCTCACATTGTTTTTTTTGTTTTTTTTTTCTGAAGTGACACATGAATAGTCAAGCACTTCCTAGCTCCTATTTAGTCACCAACGTCCAAGGTTCTCTGTCTCTGATTCTAACTCAGATGACTAAATAAAACATTGTTTGGAGCTGCAGGAATCACTATTTGAGTTTACATGTTGAAGACTCCTTTCATTATGTGCTGAGCCCGGCAGATGTCAATCAGAACAGGGGAAGATATCCGTCAAATTCTGATCTGCCGAGTAAATCATTGGTTACTTTTTGAGATTTCAAGCCAAATGTCTAGCACTCATCATGACCAACTAAACATGTTTGCATCTATAAATCTAATCCCTGTCTGATTACTGACAGCAGTGTTACAGCAGAATTTCAGTGGATTGTGAGATGTGATATAGACTCAAACTCAAATGATTACTACAGATGCAATGCAAAGATGATGAAATGTTGCTGTCAGACAGCTGAAAGTAATAAAAGAGTTCATCAAACATAGAGGGAGCTATTGTGTTAAGAAAACAGAAAAAGGGGTCTGATTGAGTATGCGAGAGGAGAGAAAGGAGATCAAGTTACAATGATACAAGCTGTACTTTTGGAGTTTGGCAGTGAGATCAATACAGAATTATTAAAATGGCAAAACAGATTATATAATATTGGTCAACAAGGATCACCTACTGAAACACACCAACACAAGGTGACCTAGTACAAGAGGCTGTCACATCCAGACCTCCAGCAAAGTATTGGCAATCATCACGGGGGCGGGTAATTTTTTTTTTATATTCCAAAGCAAAGACTTATGGGGTAAAAAAATCCTGGTCCCAAGAGAGATATGTTAGCCTGATGGATAGAGAGAGGAGAAAGAGAGAAAGGAGGAGAGACACAGGTGGACTTGCAGCACCCGTCTGTAAAATGTGAATGACACTGCAGACAGCTGTGAAGAGTCAGATAAGAAAGGGGGGAATGAGAGCGGATGGCGACTGACGAGAAGAGGAAGAAAGAGACAGAGCTTGATAGAAAGGGTATCATAAGGAAGTAGATAAGTGAGATGGGCAAATACAAAAGGAGACAGAGCAGTGAAGAGGAAGACAATAGGGCAGTAAAAAGGGAGTGTATGAATGTATTATAAGACGTATTCACAAGTATTGAAAGTTTAGCTGAGAGGAGACAGTTTGTCAACCCTGGGTGCCACGAGGGCCTATGTCGGGTTGAGGACTCCTTATAAGTTAAACTCAGGATTAAGGCCTGAGACTGTACAAGTTAATAAAAAATCACAATGGAAAGTGAATTTACTCTTTGATATTTGGGCAGTACAGTATGAGCACATAAATCATGAGCTGGTAGGCATCAAAAACAGTCCCCATGCAGACACCAGCTGAGTGTGTGAGTGTGTCAAATCCAGACAGGGCTTTGACAGTTAACATTGTTTCCTTTGAAAACACACAGAAGTTACAGTCAAAGAATATGACTTCAACAATAATTATTTCGTTCAGTGAGCACCTTTCTGACATATACCAACTCCTGACACTAAGTTCCCCAGCGTGAGGATACTGATGGCTCAGTGTGCATTTTCTGCATGCAGAAACACACAGATAAATCCTGTCTGACACCATTGGTGTGGCCTGGGTTCTGAATGATTAATGCAGTTACACCTATGCGCCACATGGGTTTTTCATTAAAGACAAGTCCCTGATCACCAGTGCAGGGTGTTGCAGTGTAGTTTCTGTAGATACACCAACAATCCAAGGTCTGACATATCCCAGGTATCGATCTGTGTATGTTTTTGTCTACAGACACATAATGGCACAGCCCTGCACTCCAACTGTGCTCTCTATAGTTAAGAAACAACCTTTTGTGTTTCAATCTACTGTTTATGCTAAGGTTTATAGATGCTGCAGGAAAGATCTATAACAGTGTCTATGAGGCTCATTTCAGAAGACAGCTGAGAATCGGTATGCTTTAACTTCAAGTTGGTAGATGTAATTCTGAGAATACTGCTCCAGTTTGCCTCTGTTCTATGCAACACACTTACTTTTACCACACAATACTATTGCCACAGTGTGTTTCATCCATAGACTGTATATAGAATAGACGCATCTGCCTCCTCGCTGAACAGCACCCTCTGGTGACGGGCTGCAGTATAGGTCATAAATCCCGCCTCTACCAGCCATCCCTATGCTGTGGACGAACTTTAGGAATTTGTTAAACAGAATATAAATTTTTCTCCTCCCTGGCTACGATGTTGACATGTAGTTGTTGTAAAACTGGTTTGTGCTCAAGTCCTCTTTTTTTCTTTACAGCTCCATTTTTAAGTTATTAGGGGTTCATGTTTTCTATGATTGACACTTGATACAGCCTATGGGTGTACAGAGATTGCATAGCTCACCCAGGGGGGATACGCTGTTTGAGCCGAGCGTCATCACAGCGACTCTCTGCGACTCTTCCACCAAATGCGTACAATGCTAATGTGCAATGTTGGTTTAAGGAAGTAGAAAAGAAACCCAGAAATAACAAGAGCTTTTTAGCTTCAAATCCCTACATTGGCGGAACTGAGTTGTCCATAGTATATACAGCCAATGATTTTCATCACATATTCCACTTGCTCACATCACAAAGTATGTTGAGATGTTGCCATTTCACACAGAAACAAAGTCCTGAAACTGTTATCGTGTTGTTGTCCTGATTTATCTTTGCCAGGGTGTGCAATCAGCCAACTGATTGGACTATGATCAACTCTCTTGAACTTCTGTACATTGCATGACAAACAACATGAATCAGGCTAAAATTCGGCCTGACTTCTGGAGCAGTCATGTGACTTAAAAATTGTGTCTAAATCACAGTGTATGCCCAGCTCAAACATTTAGAGTCTGAATATGAGGTAGCCAAATGCAAAGGGCTTTGGTTTAATACTGTGACTGTCAGCAGGCAACAGATCTTCACTCGGTGAAAGTTAAGGGAAAAAAAGTCAGCTGATCACAAGTCATCCATTCCTTGATGACTGAGCCATTACTGTACTTATTTAAGATGTTAACGCATGTAAAATCAGCCTCATATGGCTGACATGATGATGAATCATTGAGGACTACTGAGATGTGAAATCTAAGCTATGTCCTGCCAGTAAATGGGAGGTAGAAGAACATTTTCCATCCCTATTATGCAGACAGCAGGCTGAGTTATCAGGGATAAAAGAGAGGAGTGTTGGAGGAAAGAAGGAAATGGACTGAGTAGAGAGATAAGTGAAGAGAGATAGAGGTTACCGTCTTTAAATCTTCTTTCCTCATTTCATGGTCTTGGTTCTCCCATTCTGCATCCCCCCCTTGACTTTGAATAAGAGTTTCCTTTCTTGCTTTATTTTTACAGTCTATTTCAAGGGTGGTACAGGAAAAAAAATTACTTTATAAAATGTATTTTAAACAAGTTTAAAAATGAAGCAAACAAATAAAAGGAAAGTGATTTAAAATGTATTCAGGTGAAAAAAAAGAAGGTAAAGCTGCTGTGAACAAATCACAAACATACAAGGTATACAGCACTTTAAGGGATATCCCGGCGTAAAATTAAGTTATGGTTCAACACACCGTAACACTGAGTTAGACACCCCCTCGAGAGATGAATGTTGCCGACTGCTTGCTTCTCTAGTTACACCAACTTCAGCAACGACCGCTTGATAGCAATACACAGCAGTCTACGTCTCCACGACCCAAGCACAACCAAAACGCCACTCTATAGCCACAAAAAATGCTCAGAACAGCACCTAACTTCATCAACAGTACATATAGGGTCCCAGCCACAGCACTAGCCACCAAACATCTTTTTAACTTTGCCTAATTTCTTTAGCAAAGAGACTAAACACAACTCACCTACTCTCTTCCAGCAGCCGCTTGTTTGTGAGGGGAGCCCTGACGAGTCGATCACTGAGCCTTAAAGGGAATATCCCTTTAAGGCTCTTGCTAAAAAGGGTGTTAAAAACAGTATTTGGAGCTTTTTCCACACACACAAAAAAAAATGTGTTCCTTAACTAGACAGGAACAATGATGAACATGGAAGAGTAATACATTCTCTGCTGCAGCACAGAAGGCAAGGATATAAATGCCACAGAAAACACTGAATGACATTGATTTACCATCTGTGTGCCTCCTATTTCTGTTTTATGCACAACACACACATGATTGTAGTAACATACAAGAGGCCTGAATTGCAGCTGTGTTTGTACAACATCTTCACAAAATTTTCATCTGAGTATTTTTGTCAATAGAAGTTAAACTGATGTACTAATTTGATTTTTTGTGATTAGTGACTAAAAACCAATCAACTTTATTATCTGTGTTTGGCTGCAAAACAACCATGTTAAGTTTTAAAGACCAAGCAAAAAACAAAATCCAGTGTTTGTAGATGTTGTGCCATTATTATTATTTTAATTTTATTTTTACCTAAAGCCAACAAGTAATGAGAATGGTTGGCTGGTTATACTCTACGGGGATAATGTATAGTAAGTTAGGTGTTATAGCTAACTGGACTTTTGACAGGGTAAGAAGGACCATGATGGGCACTACTCTGTGTCCCCGTCCCTGCTCTCCATTTGGCAGATCATAAACTGTCTATATGTGGCAAACTAGGACTGCTTTTTGTCTTCTCCAGACTCAGGGCTGGAGCACCAATGTTGTTCCAGACCCTTCTAGCCCCTCTGTAAAGCATATGCATCCATATGTAGGCAGTTGCTGCAACTCCTTCAAGTTCAGTTTTCTAATCCAGGCCTCGGAATGTCAAATCAGAAAACTCATTACAATCATTTTATTTTTGTAAAATTATCACATAAGTCATGCATACATGATCATCTTCCATTCTCTGTGCTTGAATGCTCTCCACACATGTAAGATCCCCCAGTGCCAAAGCACAGAGACCCCGGTTTATTCACTGACCTTTCCCCAGGCCTAAGCTTCTGCCGCAGCCTCTCATAAGACACAGAGAAACAGTTAGCTAGATTTGTCAGAGACAGCAACAGGTGGGTGATAAAGCAAGTGTGTGGGTGTGTTTGAATATGTCTGACAGCTAGTGAGGGAAAAGGAGTAATAACATGCGGCTAAACCAGCTCAGGTAATTTTTCAGGAGCGCTACATATACTCCTTAATGCAAACAGGCGTGTGATCTATGGCTACTGCAATGGCCATGGTTGTACTTCGTGATCACACATACTGCAGGGATGCATGAGGAAATTCTGCAGGAAAGAAAAATTGGATCTGTGGGTGTGGGTGTTTGTGTGTGTTGTGCTCTTTGACAACTAAAGCTGCCTCTGGCCTTTTGGCTGACCACTGTAATCTGACCTCACTGGCAGTTAATCAAACTCATACATAGGCTACTATTTATCATGACCTATACACACACATACACACACGCACACAACACAAACACATGTATTTAAAGCCACATGCAAAAGGCAAATCTAGTTTTTCATACAAAGACACATATTTCTATCCAGCGCACTTAGACTCCTCGCTGATATTTGAAGCTAAAGCCTTTCCAGCGAGCATCTTTTGTCACCGGTCCTTATGCTGCATCTCAAGTTTGTGCTCGCAACAGAACACCCGTCCAGTTACATTTCATACTTGAGTATCGAGTATGCTGGGAAAAAAATGAGGAAGGACACACTTAAGCTCACACATTTTCTTGCTCTCTGTGTTCAGTGCTAAGATATATTTGCAGAGTGCCAGTTTCCCTTACCTTAGGGCACACTCTCTCTATTGACTGCCCCTAATTTAGACAGAAACCCCCTGTGTCTTTTAAACAACTTGAGGTAAAAGGGAGTTTGAAGTAGAGTGAATGAGACATGTGAACAAGAAAGAGAGCAAAGCTGTTGAGAAATCGAGAGAAACCGAGAAACTCCAGAAAGCAAATGGATGAAAAGAAGAAAGTGTTAGTGACGCTTTTGTTTGGTTTTTACGTTACCAGAAGATTGAATTCACAACTTAATATAGTAAAATGAAGGGGTAATTTATCCGGCTGCTAAATAGGAATATTGTGAATCCTTTGTTTTAAGAAGGTTAAAAGAGATTCAAGAAATTAAACAATGAACCACTAAGAGTTTAATTAAATCAAAGCTGGAAATATAGAGACATTGTCTCTTTGGTGCTAATGTTATTTTCAACCCAAAGTTGAGTTATTAACTGAGAGCATTTTTAAGGTCGTTTTTTAAACAAAATGAAAAAGAAAATGCAAAAAACAGCTCTGCAATCTGTTGCATTTCTGCTCCTTATAGTCCTCAGAGAATGTTACAGCCCCACATTACAGATATCACCAGAGGAAAAAAAAGAACATACAGGACAATTTCTTAGACCAGACAAAGTGTATCAATTTCCAGCTGTACAGCAGAAATAGAGAGCCTGGTATGAAAATTGAACAGCATTCAACTGTGGTGGTGCTACATCAACCTAGTGAGGTTACTGCAAAGAAATTGACTAACGGTCTTACAATCAGCCCTGGCAGTGCTGGGCTGAACGCCCAGAGCAGTTTCCCAAAGACTGTAAAACATTTACTGTCTTTACAGTGGGCTTTTTCCATTTGTATGGCTCATATTTTCTCCTTTACCTCCTTCTCTTTATTCTTTTACCAGCCCTTTCCTCATTTGTTATGCATCCCCTACAACCATATCCTTCCCTCAGTTTCCTCTCCTTTCCTCTCCGTCTCACTGTCCAAATGTTTTAGAGAACTATTGTCCACTTGCAAATCTATTAGATTTCACCTATCCCCATCTCTTCTTGCTCCATCTCTGTTTCTCTCCCCCTCGCAGCAGGAAGAGAGGGTACTGTTCTTAATCAAAGTGCCTGCCCCAGAGCTAACCCAGAGCACTACAAAGTCTCATCATCATCATCATCATCATCATCCATGGGAACCAATCAATAATTCAGCATGCTGCCCAATGTATCACTACGCATAGAGATACTTCTGCTCAGTTCCTGTACAGTAGGAGAGCTCCCATACATGGGAAATGGAGCTATTCACTGAAGACCAATAACAAGGAGAAAATGGCAAATACAAGCCTATAATCCCCAGTTAGTGCGCAATAGTTCTTGCCCTAAGGCTTTAGGGCTTGCAGAAGTAGTGTACTTTGTAGAGCAGCATTTGAAATGCAGACACAGTAATCGAGGGGATTTAAAAGAGCAATGGAGCAATCACAAAGGTTCTCTCCCATGGGGCACTAAGGATAATATGAGGGCATATCAAAATACTGTGCACTGAATTCTTCCTCCTCTTGTTTTCTCTTGCCTTTCTGCCCCTTCTGTTCTTGTCAGCAAAAGCCTGTCTCCAAAAGACAATTTATTTTACATTTCTACACAGGCTTTGCTCCCTGGCAGAGCTTCCAAGTCTTGATTATTCTACTTTGAACCTCCAAACAATTAAGTCTGCATTTACATGCCCAGTCAATCAGGATGAGCCCAGTTATCTGTACAGGAACTCTCCTGTATGACTGTGCTAATCCCGACCTTGGTCCACTTTCGCTCAGCAGAGAGACAAACTGTGAGAGCTCTACCTGGAGACTCTTGAAGCAACTGCTTGATGCAGCACTCTGGGTTCACTGCTTCTCACTTCCTCTGTGATGAAGAGGAAGAAGACTTGCTGCTGGGCAGAGACCAGCGGGTTTTTAAACTTTTGAGCACTGTCAGCTTCCACTGCGTCTTCCTTGCCCCCCTTTGGTGTTAAGGCAGAACTTCCTGTAGGTAAAGAAAACTGAAATACCCTGCTGATGGACTGGTGGTGCTCTTTGTCTTATGCCGAAGTTACACATCAGCAGTAGCTTCTTAAAAAGGGAGCAAATCCTGACCCGTGCCACTGTTGAGGCCTCCAGGAAACGCGCAGTGTTGAGCCAAAAAGACTCTCTGCGACTGAAAAGAAAGAGAGTGACATTCTGACTCTATGAAAAACAGGGGTTGACATCATGTCCGAAGGGGGAGGTTACTGAACGGCATGAAGCAACCAGTCAGGGTGAGTCAAATCTAGACTCCAAAAAGGTACAAGTTGATGCATTTGCCTAAAGCCAGGACACCCACTGGTGTCGTCTCTGTCACCCAACAGAGAGTCAAAGCATTTATTTGCATCCTCAGGCAGTGCCACCATTTGTTGAAGAGTGTTGTCACAGGCTGAGCACAACAGGAGTGAAGACCAGCCCAAAGCATCCTCTGAGGGTTTCAAGCTCACTGAGGGAAAGAGGGTCGGTTTACATTATAAGCGGGGTTTACATCAGACATCCAGAAGTTTATCTCTGGATTCTGATCACCTGTTGTGCTCATGGGTTGAGGCTAGGGCTGGGAGATATGGGAAAAAGTTTATTACAATATATTTTTTCATATCAGTCGATATATATCACAATATAAAAAAATGAAATTAAACAGTGCTCATTGGTAGCATGTCTATTGCAATACAAGAAGTTACTGCATCTGTGACGTCTTTGTGTCTCTTCAACATTTTGTCATAAGGCGTTGCACTAGAGAAAGTGGACTGAATGGTCAGCTGTTTCGGCTGCACAGGCGCCATGGGCTCCTTGCTCCACTTGGGGTTAATAACCTTTTGCATTGCGCGTGCTCTGCTGCGTGGCGCAGCTTCAGGTTGTGAAAAAGATTTGAGGTATTCCTTGACTTTGTGAGGACATGTACTCGACATAATTTGCAGTGCACACTACTCTGCTTCATGTCCGACCTCAAAAAAACAAAATACCTCCACACCATCAATGTTTTCGTGACAATGTTGTCGACAATGTCGTCCTCTGTTGAGCCTTCATCTGCATTCCTGCCGGGGGTAGCACTCATTTTCTTCATGGCTTCACGTGTTAAAGTGTTATGGTTGCGTGTAGCTGCAGCCTGTTCTAATTCAACACATGATTGGGTCAGCGCATAGCGGACCCAGACGGAGTCCCTTTTAATTGGCTATTCATATAGTCTACCAAAACATTGCAGAATGCCGACTATCTAAAAGGATATTGATCATGTCTTACATTGATATTGAAGGAAATTAATTTTCAATATATATCTTTTTCGTTTTATCGCCCAGCCCTAGTTGAGGCAATAAAAAAGTTGGGTTTTCTGCAGAAGAAAAAGGTTACCTCTGCAGACAGGGATGAGAGCATAGTGTAAAAATCCTGAAGAGGGTTACAGATTTTTTTAATACAAAGGCAAGGACTTATTTCAGAGTAACTCAAATGTACCTCATTAGATACCAAAAAGACACCATTCAACATGGTACACACCCAGAGGAAGCATTTACTCTGCAACCTACTCAATGTAGCATTGATGAAATAAGGTTGCAATTTGTAGTCACCCATGCAACGACCTTTCATGGTACATAACCTTAATGCAATTTCATCAAGCTCAATTGAATATTGTTTTACTGTATGGTTTAGTTTATACATTTAATCCTCAGGTGTCACCAGGATTATTGGAGTCACACTGCCCCCCACAGGCTGGGGATAACGCTGCACACAACAAGCTAAGAAAATAAAAATACTTGTGAGTTGTGTATGATACTGAGGTAGATTTTCAAGTGCATGGACTGTCCTTCAACTTTCTCTTTGCTTTGTCTGTGGCTGTCTCTATTTCAAACACACGGCCGTGAGATCCACAAAGCACATGCACACACACACACACAGAACCCATGCCGGATTAATATGCACAACACAAAGCCACGCTCCAAAATAAAGAAAAGAAAAAAAGAAGACGCAAACACGCTTAAACTCCCAAGTCAGTAGGGACACATAGCTCTGATATGATAAGTGGAGTATGTGTCTTTAATAGTGTGATATGTGTTTATTATCAACGTCACAAGCACAAAAACACACACACACACACACCCTCACAGCTGGACAGTGAGGACGATGCCATGGGACCTAATTACGAGCAGGAATGAGGGAGAGTTTGAGTAGTAAAGAGAGGTTAGGAAAGGGACAGCAGGGAAGTTGATGAAGTCAAGGGATGAGTACAAAGGAAGTGCCTCTTGGAAAAAGATGTCAAATAAAACTTTGTAACTCAATTATCCATTTTTTTACAGCATATTTAAACACATCACTTACAGGCAGTGGAAGTGTGTGTATGTGGGTGTGTCAGGAGGGGGGATGCCGTTTTCATAAATGGGTTTGATGTTTTTTTTTATTTAATCACAAATCTGGTAGCGACTAAGTAATGCAGTTAGTGGAAAGACCTGATACTGGTAGTGATTATGTGCCATTACTGCCATTGCTTGTCCTTGAAGGTGGGCTAGAGGCGGTCAAGCATTCTAATGAAAATGGGTAGCTATATGCTTGAGTGAACTATAACCTGATCTATAATCATTTTGCCTCTTTTTGACCTGAAATCAATCAGAGGATTGTGAGATGTGTGAGCCTAAGGCCAGATCTTATGGTTCAAAGCAGAAAAAAAAAGAGAGGTGGTCCAAGTTTACTGTTTATGCAATAAGACATGCAGATTTAACAAGAAAGATGCTCAGCAATGATGGTGCTTCGAAGATTCTTTTTTTTTTTCTGTTCTCAACAAAGACGGTGAGAATAATCCCAGAATTTTGTGCCCACAGACATGCTCCTGATATTGAAACGGATTATTCTCATTCTAATGGGGATTCTAGTGTTTTTTTGTTTTGTTTTGTTTTTTAAATTTAATGTATCATGTAGCCTTCAGAGTCTGGGATTTGTGTACCCTAAACTTGTGTTCGGAAAGATACAGTAACAAGGTTTCTAAGTTTGATCCAGGATCCAATTTGATGAACCTAAAAACCTTCATTTTTAGGACATGGAAACTGCAATGCCCTTTCTAAGGATTTTCTACCAATTAATGCACTTCTGTTTATTATCTTACCATGAAAAGTCTTTAAAGACCCACTCCAATGAAATCACGTTTTTTATTGTCTACATGTTCATATGGCATTTTTCTGATGCTACACGACATATCGTGAGAAAACCAAGCGCAAAATTTCATTTCTGAGTATTTCTGCATTCAAATCGCTGTCAATCTCTCACAGACCCAAATGTCAGGTTCAGATACAGTGAGATTTCTTACATAGCAAATCCAAGCTCCGCCTCCAGAGCCCCACTATGCTATGCCATACTTGGAAAAATAGAGAGGATAATCGCGGAACAAGCGTGTCCTTAGCTTGTTAGACTTTTATCTCATTGAAACACAGTGGTCAAACACAAAGATCGTACCTGAATTTACCTAGCCACTCCATCACATGAAGCAGAGGAATACATACTGTATGTGGCTTTTTTCTTTGCAACTAGCGTGAATACCAACTATACCAATTTAGGTAAGCTTACATTCCTTACAATTATAGGCTGTGGTACTCACGCACATAAATATACGCATGCATAGAGACGGAGAGTGAGAGAAAGAGTGAAAGAGAAACTCACTACCTCAAACAAATAGACTGTAATGCTGTTACCACAGGCTCTAATATTGCCAGCTCACACAGCTGATGAAATATTCTCTGTTTACTCTCCTCCAAATGTCCTGCTAAATCCTGCATGTTAGTGTGTGCGTGTGTGTGTGTGTGTGTATGAGTAAAGTGAATCCTTAAATATCACAATGTGGCGAAGGCAGCTTCTCACAGTAGAGAAACATTTTGACTGACCTGTTTGCAAACAAAAACAAACTCACGCAGAGGAGAGATCATAATAAGGTTAATACGATCTTTTATACTATTGGCTGTTTTCCCATAAATATAAAACCAAGGGTGCTCAGCCTGACTGAATCCAAGGTTTGACAGATATTTTGTATTTTAGCCAAATAATGCATCAAGGATACAATTTCCTTCAGTCAAGTTATTTTCTTGTGCACATAAGGTCCATCAGAGTGAAATATCTACTTCATGATATTCTCTCTGGTCTGTGTATTATCCGTCCATTCAATTATTCCATTCAATCTAGTAAACGAAAAACGAAAAAAACGAGTCAATATTTTGTTTATTTGTTTTTCTATATAACCAAAAAATAAAAGATTAGTGTTTGTTTTCGTATTTTCAGTTCAAAACAGAATATATAATAGAGATGGAAATGAAAAAAAAATAATAAATCTACTTTTCGTTTTAGGGTTATTGATGTCCCCATTGCCCATGGTGCTTTTCTACTGTTCGCACATTGCGCTACAAAGTAGCTAACAATGTTGACCAAAAACTCCAGGCCAGAGCGGTAGAGAAAGGCTAACCTGCTGTAATGGAGATGGACGCATCCTACGTATTATTCAAAAGCGCCAGGAGGGTCACACTGAAGGAGGAAGATATGACTGTAGAAAAAATTATAACCAGAGCTCTGCTACAACGTAAGATTTTGGCGCTCAAACCGCTCTGTCGCATCTTTTAGCATAGTAACTATCACTAAGGATCATGGGAAGGCCAGTTTGGCAGTTCTTTTGTTTTATAATTACAAGTTTAAAATGTTTTTTAAGAAACTGGTCATTTTTTTCTTTCAAATTGCATCTTCTTAAAATAAACTGAAGAATCAGTTTCAGTTTATAATATAATATATAATATAATATAATATATATAATCTTATCAGATTATCCTTAAACCAAGCCAGATAGCTAAAACCGTTCATTATAATGATTGAAGGGGCATGAATACTTCAGAGAGTCAGCGTGTCTCATGCTGGGACTGTTACTGAGGTCTCATTATTACCTTTTACTGCTGTTCTATATACACAAGAAATCTCTATCCTGGAGCTTTATTAAAAAATATGAAACCAGCAATTCTGATTGATAGTTTTATTAAGTGATCCTATTTCTTGATGTCTGTGGACACAACTCCGTTTATGAACTGGCATCAATTAGAGGCCTAACCAAGGGAGGAAAGACCAGAAACCACAAGAGTGATGTACTGGAATAATAATGACACTCTTGGCAGATGAAGACAAAGCTAAAAGAGATGGTGATTAGCAGCTGGGTCGAGGTTTTTTGGCTGTGAATGAAGATGTGAGAATCTGAGAGAAGTGTGATTTTATGAATATCAGTTTTTGACAACAGACATGCTGAAGAAAAGTGTTTGTGTCTACAAACTTCAGTAAACATTCAGTAAGGAAGATGGAAGAATATGGATGACGAGGCAGAAATCTTGTTACTTAACAATATTTGGCTTGTTTGCTTTGTTCAAAACTTTTTGTATCATGTTTGGTAACATTAGATTTTTGGCATGAGGTTTAGATTTAATATGAATGTCTTCCTGAGACAGACCTTGTGAAAACAAATTAAGTGCCAGGCATATTTTTACTTGACAATGGCAGATGATTAAAACCCTGCGATTGAGAACTGACTCTGATTTGAACCTTCAATTTCAAAGTTCATAGACAAAAAAATCACAAATGTACAACTGTTGCTCCGAGAACTACAGAGACCACCTTCTTGTAAGATCTTTAAATGGTCAACAGTCAGTATTGACCATTCTTTGGGAATCACACAGATACCACTGATATTACAACCTTTAACAATGACTGACCAACCAGCTAACAAACAATAATCCTTAGAGTCGCATCTTTATTGTGATAAAACACAAAAGAACCAGTTTGGCCTCCTTCCCTTTTAGACACACAATCATCGACATTTTACATCAAATGTAAATGCCTCAGAGAAAAAAAAAAAACAATGAACTGAACTGACTCCAAAGTTGTAAGAATAACTGTGAACATAGGCCTGGACGATATAGAAAAAAAGCATATCGATAAAAAATAAATCATATTGATCGATATCGATAATTATTGATATAATTATTATAATTATTTAACATATGTTTTAATTGCAGCCCTGGATGTTATATGCTATTGCTTAATGACCTACTTTTAATAAAGAACACAGAAGCACTGAATTCAAATTCAAACCTTTATTCAACCACCTTTTTTATTTTACCACAACTGAAAGTTTTTTAAAAAAGAACTAAAAAAAAAAGAAATCAACTTAAGGGGCCTGAGTGATGTCAGTAAATACTGACAAACATAAAGACTAAAGTGACCAGAAAATCTGATAAATAAATATTTAAATAGTCTTTTGATGAAAATAAACAAAACAAACAAATATATAAATAAACAGAATAGCTTTAGGTGGGAATAACATACTACCAGTTTTAACTGTGTGAGAAACTGCCCACAGCCTGGTGTCTGAACACTGAAATATTTCTCCCGGGGTCGGGAGATTTATTTTTTTTAATTATCATGTGATTGACTTGATACGCAAACTGAGCACGAGAAGCAGGACTTATCCACGCCGGTGTTGTGTCGTAGAATGCACCCCTGCCGAATGCACCCCCTGCTAGTAGCCATGATCCAAATACTCGCGTCTTTGTAAAATATGAGCTCATTTTCTTCCACTTTAAGAAGCTAATGAGTGGACGGGATGCAGGGGTGCATTCTTCTCACCTTTTCAACCCCTGACCCATTTTCATGCCTGAAGCGCTGTGTTTGAGAAATACTTGCGGCCGGGCACTTCATATCGCGGGTCGAGAGTGGCTAGAAGCTGGTCGAAGCCTGGCTTTTCAACGGTAGTTATTGGCAGTATGTCCCTCGCTATGCAGCATGTTACTGCATGGGTGATGTCCTTATGCCGCTCGGACGCTTTGTCGTATTTTGGCAAGAAACGAAGTCCAGTTTGGTCTGCTTCACTTGCTTTGTGCTGGTGCTGGCAGCGGTTCCAGAGGATTCCTCCTCCGACGACGTGGAGCCGCGGCGCGGCCGACACAGCTCGTACTCCTGCGGGTGCGACCGGTTTAGATGGTAAAACAAGTTGGTTGTGTTACCAGACTTGGTTTTTACTAATTCTCTGCAAATTTTGCAAACGACCGCTGTTCGCTTTTTGTCAGACTTCTAAAAACCAAAACATTGCCATGCTGGTGAACTACTGACAATGTCCTCCGCTTCTCCTTGCTGTATCATTTTTTCTAATACACGTGCTGTCTGTTGTGGTTTGATAGGGGCTGGGCTTGGTGCCGTAGCGTACCTGGGTCTGCGTTTGTGATTGGTTGGGAGGAAGTAATGACTGTAGCAAAAGCTACATGATAGGCTATGATGAAAAAGAAAGGGAAACTGTGTTTTTCTATCGAACTTTTTATCGACCCGTTTTTTTTCTATCGCAGCACACGTCTATCGATCGATATATATTGTTATCGAATTATCGTCCAGCACTATGTGAACACAAACGTCTTTCTATTGTTTTCAATTTCCTTTTCAATTTTTACCTGCTTTTCTTGCACCTACTGCTTGAATTATCTCATCTTCCTGTTGAGTGATTTTGGGATGATTACTTGAAAAGCTTCTAATACGGATACTCATAACCAATTACCCAAGTTATTGCAGCTTTGCAAGTTTACTGAATAAGATTCCTTTGCCAAACCAGAAAATGAGTCTGTAAACATCAAATTGGACTTTAATGATTCCTATTCATTTGTGGTTTCAGTTTATGAATATCATCCTAAACTGAATGGAGTAATTTTAAAGGCATCTGTGATTCTGTCGAGGATATTATAGTTAATCTAGGCTATATAGCAGTCAGTAAAAATCCACTTTGAGTTGGGGCACAACAAAACTTGAGAACAAAGTAGTTGTTTCAGACAGACATGGCGTGTTCTCTCTCAAAGAGTTTACTTCTGGACTTGTTCTTTGTAAATTGAATTTATTGACCATTGAACGGTTCATGGATCAGCGGGCATGTTAACAGTGATACTAATGCAATATTCCAACCTGTTTGTTTCCAGAACCAGTGGGTTTTTTCTCTGATGAGATATGAATTGTGCAGGGGGGGGCTTTGGGAATTGATTGGCACTCTCTCTCCTTTACACACTCATACCCTGACTCTTTCGGGATCCCACTTTCTCTTAAACCGCCTGCACAAACTCTTGCTTCCTCACACTCAGTAGAAATCAGTCAGCTGAGCCCACTGCTTTGACAGTAAACATATGAGCAACAGATACAGAGTGTGCTGGCTTATCAACCATTTAGCAGCAGATGACCTGTGGAGGGAATGGCCCTATCATGATTAAGTGTGTGAAATCTCCTCATTCAATCACAGGTCAAAGGTCAGTGCGTACATCAGCATGCGGCATCCATCTCCACCGCTATTGATTGCCCTGCGATGTGTGCATGTTGAATGCGCGTGCTTTTGGTGTGTGTAGTGTGCTTGGGAGTATGTGGGCTACATGTGTGTAATCCCAGTTTGATGGGGCGTGCAGAGGCAGTGAGTGTTTAGGCTTCTTTTGCTGGCACAGTGATTTAATCTGAAAGTTGGAAATGTTTTCTGCCCAAATCTTAGCCAAAGGAAAGAGTGTGCGGGGGACTTAAACCTGAGCAAATCCAACAAATCAAAGTAGTAAAACAAAAACATTAGACTCCAAGTGGCAGCCATTGAAGTAAGTGACCTGCCTGATATAATATATTCTTGTGACTTTACCAGGGGCGATTTTGGTCTGGAAATTCTGGTGGGACCATGCAGGAAAATCTCATAATGCAATCCAGAAATACCAGATATTACTCTCATACCCTCAACAAAAACACATCAGCAAGTGAGAGAGGGGAACTCAGCACCTTTGACAACAAAACTGCAGCTGAATAATGCCATCACACAAACAGTGTCAATCTGGCGACTTATATTATCATACCAATAGCGCCATCAAATGGCAGTGTTCAAGGCCTCACAATATCAAATACTCAAGATTAAAACAATGTGGCAATAATAAAAATACAAAGGCGTGAACGGCGCACACCCAATACACAGCAATCAAAGCCACCACACACAATAATGCCACAGCCAATCAGCCATTTCAGCACCAAAGACAGGTGAACAGCTCCCTCAAGATTGTGACTACACACACCCCCACACACGTACCACCAGTTGCGCATTACGTAAATTCCACTTTCATTCAAACAATATGTAAACTATATCATAAATTCCATGTAGAATAATAGACTCACCGATCTGGATCACTTTTTGAAGAGGTATGACGCTCTGCGGTCCTTGTTGTGCGCAGACTTCTCTGTGACCTTGCTGTTAAAATCCAACAGTCCTTGGATAAGTTCACTTTGTCATGTTGCGTTACTATGGTCGCCAAGCTCGCGTGTAGTTTCCACTCTTTCATCTGATCAGCCAATAAGAAGCACTCTGGGGCCCCGAACTTCAGGCTCCACTGCCGACACCAAAGTGTGCGCTGCACATGAACACGCAGCCGTTCGCCATCTCGACTGTGCCCCAACTGGAAGAAACAGAAGCACAATTAACTATTCGCACACAACAGCACTACAGAGTAGTGATGCACGATATGAAAAATTTCAACCGATACCGATAACCGATAATTTTCTTCTTCTCATGGCCGATACCGATACCAATAACCGATAAATTCATATTTTTACGTTTATTATAATCTTCATATAATCTGCAGTTTGTGCAGGATGCAGCGATTGAAAACTGATGTTTTTGTTGCTCTGGCCTATCTAGAACAACAAACAAAAGTTTTTGGCTCTTCAAATGTGGTCATTTGCTATAAATAACAATAACAGAGCAAAAAGCAGAACTTCATTTGATCCCCTGAACTGTTCAACAGAACTGTAAACTGTAAAGGAGCTATTATGAGACGTTAGGCTTAGCATGCTGACCGGACTTACATCTGACGTCCATATGTCTGTGGTAAAACTCACGTGTAGTCCGTTCTTGTCGATCAGGTTGTGAATTTATGTGGCGACAATATCATAGAGTGCAGGAAGAGACACATCCGAGAAGAAGCGGCGGCTTGGGAGAGTGTAACGTGGCTCCAAGTGTTCTAATAACTTACGAAAACCCGGGTTCTCAACGACGGAAAAAGGCTGGTCGTCGACCGCTATGAACTCCATCACTTTGTCGTTAATGGCTTTAGCCTTTTCGCTGTCTCTTGAGAAGCTTTTGCAGTTTTTAAACGCCTGCTGAATGGGGACATCGATCCTCCGTAGTGTTGTTGTCTTAGCTTTAGTACCGCTAGCAGCTTCGGCGGCTGTCTCATATTCTTTTACTACCGCTTCGCCGCGATGGCGACTTTTCAGATGAGCTATCAGATTCGTTGTGTTAAAACTTGACGTCTTCTTTCCTCCTCTCGGAATCCGCGCTGAACAGGTTTTGTATATAGCAATGCTGTTGTCATCTTCTGCCACTGAGAGAAACGACCATGCTGGTGAAGACATTTTATTATCTGTCAGGTAGTGACGGGGTCAGGCTTGGGACCTGTGAGTAAGGCGCGATAGATGACTTAACCAGCGCGTCCCGGACGGGCGGCTACTCCGCCTGCAAACGTTACTCGTAATTTCATTAATATATCGGATCTTTCTATCGGAAAAATGCACCTATCGGACCGATAAAAAATGACGTAATTTCTCCCCAAATCGGCCGATATTTTATTGGTCCGATAAATATCGTGCATCCCTACAACAGAGAGTAGGGAAACTGCATACATCAAATGAAAACTGCAGACATCTTAGTGTGGACGAAGTTGAATTTTTTATTAACTTACACTCAACGACATTTTTGACACAGGAAAACCTAAAAAAAAAAATAATAATAATAATGAAAAAAAAAAGCATATAAGCCTCTCCTGCAAAGCAGCGCCCTCTGGTCAGACTGTGCCCCACCGGCCCCTGATACAAGGACGCCAGTGGACTTTACAGTTGTCATGTTGATTTTATTTATGGCTGTTTTTTTATTTGTTGGATATTTATGACCTGTGTTTCTTTCCTTTTAAAAACCTTTCTGTTTATATCAGGTTATATAAATGTTATATTGCATAACATTCTTTGTGAATTACATCATTTCATAGCAGTTGCAAAATTATATTTATCCTCATCTCCAATACCAACTGACCTCTCACATACCTGATGGTACAGTATGTATGTCTCTTGAGCATGGGCTGTGAAAAAGATGCAGACATATTAACTGTGATGGCAACTATTAGCTAATTGTTTTTGAGCAAATGTTGCAATATGTCTTAATCTTTTTTAACTTTCCTCCATATTGACCACATATAAATGACAGGTTGAAATGTCATTGCTTTGTCTCCATCCTGGTGTAGAGGTCACTATAGTTGCCACATGTAAATTGTAGATAGCTTTGCCATTCTCTCTTAATGAGAAAATATTGTAAAATTTGATCATTAAGCTGTATTGATTCAAAGCTAAAACTAATGAATGAGAGCATAAACAGGTATAATAAAGTAATTTATGTACTTAGATCTGTAGGTGTTGTGCAGTCTTGCACAGTTTTTTATTCAAACCGTGGGCTATAACCACTTTTAATAGACAGTCTACAATCTTAAAGTCCCACTCAGATCTTTTTTGTTTGGTTGTTTTTTATGATTTTAAGTGCTCTCAGTGGTCGTTCAATTATGATTATTAATTTTTAAGCCAAAATCACATTATCTGTGTCATATTCAAGCGCTTTCATACTGCAGAGCTCCAGTAGCTCATTTGCAATTGTCCTCTTAGTTGTAGGCGGAGACTGCGCTTCTCTGCACACTCCTCTTCATGCTAGCTTGTAGCCTAACATTGGCGGTGCCGTAGAAGTGGCAAGTAACACAGGACCTATTCAGCTCTTGGACACTAATGTCTTTGGGCATGATGAAAGCTAACATCATAATTAGCTTTCTTACAAGCATTGCAATGCGCTACTGCACACACGACCATCATCCTCTGTACTTTTTGGAGTCTAGCCTGCAGAGCAGAGCCACTGGGGGCGGAGTTTGGATTTGTGACTCAGGAAATCTCATTGTGTCTGAGCCTGCCATTTGGGTCTGTGAGAAGTTCACAGAGATTTGAATGCAGAAATACTCTGAAATGCAATTTTGCACTTAGTTTTCTCATGATATGTCCTCTAGCATCAGAAAAATGCCAGGACACATGTGTGGTCGATGCATGTGGATGGAAACAGGATGGACAAGGAGGGAAAGGTGCTCAATGTGCCAGTAAACCTGGTATTTAAAAACTATAGCCGCATAACTAAGAGCCGGCCAAGGCCTGAACCAGACTTACTATCTGTAATCTTTTCCATAAAATGAAAGTTTTTAGCCTCAACACTTCGACTGATAGATCATTCCAGAGGACAGGGGCCTGATAACTGAATTTTCTACCACCCAGACCACTGGTTACCATAAGCAGGTCTGCATATTAAGACCACAATGTTCTGGAAAGGTAATAGGGAACATTAAGCTCTTAACAATATCATGGTGCCTGACCATAAAGAGTTTTGTAGGTCAGACAAAGTATTTGAAATTATATCTTAAATTTAAAGGGAGGAAAGTGTACTGAAGCTGATACAGAAGAGACGTGCTGTCCTTCCCTGGTTCTGGTCAGAATTTGGGTGGCAGCTCTAAAGCAGCCACATCCTGATACCTGGATCACCTCTAAGGCCATGAGCAATAAGACAATAGACAATATTAGAGCACAAAAATTAGAGCATACAAACAAACAAACAAACAAACAAACAGGTAAACATATACTGTAAATAAGAAGTTAGAGAATGAGGAGTGTTTGTAAAAGCACATTGATGTATGGATTTTTCCACATGGCAGTGAGCCTGTCAGCAGTTTTCCACATCAGCAAATTCCCTCTACTGTTTCATGGCACGTGAATACGTCACTTCTAGAGACACCCAGGCTTGGACATTTCCTGCCTCATCAGACCCGTCCTCTCTCTATCATTCTCTCTCTCATTAAAAACTACTTGCACTTACAACATTAGCATAAATACATAAATTCATGGTTTGGTAAATGAGACCCTCTCAACATATTGCACCATTTCCAAACACATGCACACAAACTCACATGCTTGCACAAACCTGAAAGGGTTTCTTCTGAGGCCTTCCTTTCAGGGAAAAACTCAGTAAGTTGCTGTTTCTTTCAAAGTCCTTCCAGCTTGTCTTTTCTAACAATCGTTTCCAAAAACATCAGCTGTGGAATTTCACATAAGGATGTATGTCTTATGGTCAGGCAGAAGTAATCAATATGCCAATGAATACTGAGATGTACCGACAATAGAGATGAGGAGAATGTAAGAAAAGGAGCTTGTATATTGCCAAGTGTTTTGAAGTACATATGAAATGAAGGCGAGAGAAAGCAGAAGAAAAAGAGAATCTAACAATGTGTGTAAGAGATTGCCGTGTGCTTGTGTGTACGCTTTTGTATATACGATTTTTGCACAGTGGTAGTGCCTTTGCTCGGTTGCAATGAAGCATGTATTGTAATCAATAGCACTTCAGCCAGAGAGCAAATCAATGGAGGCTGAGCTGTAATGGAATGCATGGTCAAGGGAGCAGCTGACTATGGGTGAGTGCTAAGATAGAGACTAAACATAAAACATATAAATGTAGTCCAAGAGAGATAAAGAAGGAGAGGTAGGACAATGCGAGATACATTCAATAACTTAAACAGGGAATAAACACAACTGAAAACAGAAGAATATACGTTCATGGGAGCTTACGAAAGGAAGAGAGTAAATTTAGGTGTGATGCAAAAAGCACAGACATTCATCAGCGTAGGAAAATTCTGCATAATTGTGATGCCTCAGTGAGCTTGTTCAAACCCCCTGTGAGGCGAAAGAAAAGCAATACAGGGAAATTGGCTCCAATGAGAGGAAAACTAACAATAAAGACAGATAAAAAAAAACAAGGGGAACGAAAAAAAATAATAAAACAGCATGGGAAGCAAGTACAGTGTGAATCTATATTTATTTGCATATAATGAAAGAAAGGAGGGGAAATGTGTGTTACTGCATCCTGATATCTTGGTATCTTATTTGGGTTTTTTTAACCGTCTTCCTTTTCTCATCTTGTGAAAGCATCTGAGAGCAATATGGTGCAGACGAGACTTAACTCTCAATAATTGCAGTTTATTTGTTATCAGTGAACTCCCAAGTACCTTGCCTTTACTTGCAATGGGACTTAACTGGCAGGTTCACCGTAACAACAACATTTGAGCATTGTGCTGTAATTTAATTTAATCTAATCACCAGAATGCTCCTCAAGATAACTTTAGTTTTTATCATTAAATTGCTCAGAACATCCTTAAAGAAACTCATTGTGTAAAAACAAATAAATACATAATTGCAAAACACTTAAGATAAGTACACTCACAAAGATCCCCTTACACATGTGAAGAATACAATGACAGGTGCATACATGCAGAGAGGGGTTGTGGAAGAGTAAATCTGATACTATTGTTTGAGCTTCTCCTTATTAAAAGAAATAAAGAAGTCTCTCAATATGTGAGTGCACACCTTGGAGGTAACACTCATTAACACCCGTTAGATAACAACACCCATTAAAGCTTCTAGCAGCGGGCTCTTGCACCCTTGTGCATGATGGGGTGTGATGCACCTTAGGGTGTGGAGCAGCTGTACAGTTTGTTGTCAATGTGGTGCTTTCATGAGAGAATGAACTGTCCAAATAGGCTACAATCTTTATTAGTGTTCTGAACATGACATGAAGTGTGAGCACACTTGGTCTGTATGCTTGGCTTTGTTAGACAGATAGTATACTGAAAAAGTTGCTGAGTCCAATTACAGTACTCAGCTATATTAATACAAACAGCTGTCAAGCTTGACTGATAGCTGTTCCAGTGGTGGTCAGCTGATGCTATCAGTATAGGATGTCAATTTACATGAAGCACTACAGGAGGATATAATTTTTTTCATTACATTTTCTTTTTCCCTCTCTCCCTCTTCATGTTTCCTTGCATCTATCTGTTAAAGGGATATTCCAGCGTAAAATTAAGTTAGGGTCAAAAACACTGTAACACCGAGTTAGACACCCTGTTCAGAGATGAATGTTGCAGACCGCTTGCTTCTCTAGTTATACCAACTTTAGTAACAACTGCAGGATAGCAATACACAGTGGTCTGAGGAGCCACAAACAAACCTCAACCAAAACGCCACTCTATAGCCACAAACAATGCTCAGAACGGCACCTAACTTCATCAACAGTACATATAGGGTCCCAGCCATAGTACTAGCCACCAAACATCTTTTTAGCTTTGCCTGATTTCTTTAGCAAAGAGACTAAACACAACTCACCTACTCTCTTCCAGCAGCCCCTTGTTTGTGGGGAGACCTCACCAGTCCATCACCGAGTGCAGCGGGTTACACAGCTCAAGGAAGAACATTTATGATCATCTTGTCTGGAAGAGAGTGAGTGAGTCCTTGTAAGTTACACAAATTACAACAGCAAAGGTCTATAGAGTCCAGGTGCCAAACTGGCCTGCCAGCAGTCCTGACTTAATTATTGGGCAGCTCAGTTTTTGGGGGGACCTGTTGCTGGCATTGGATTTCAAATGAGAATATAAAACGAAAAAAAGCAAGAAAAACTTTCAGTTTCAACATGTGATATATAATTTCCATGCACTTTATTCATGGCTCATGAATGATTTGCAAACCATCAATTTCTGTTTTTGATAAAAAATGATAAATTATCTGTACTTTTTGGGTTGTCTTATTTTATGTGAATTTATACACGTTAGTCACAAAAAATCATCAGAATGAAACTATTCAAAAAAAAAAAAAGAAAAGAAAAACCTAATGAACTGCTGTTTTTCAGACAGCAATTTTACACTCATTATGTGTTTGTTGATAGATGGTTTGTATTCTTGGTGAGTGCATTACTGTTTGCATGCTTGTGGGTTGTGTGTGCTGGTTTAGTGGGGATTGATAGTAATGCGTTTGTGAGTGTTTTTTTGGATGAGCTTAGAGATGAGAGGGAATCTCCCTCAGCTGCATACATATAAATAACAGCTGGGGTGTTAGGAGAAAATACTGCAGCTTAACTGTTACATGCATGCACAAATGCACGCGCAAACACACACGTCCACACAAAAGCCAAAGACAGACAAAGATATTGTTTTTCTCTCAAACTTGCATAAAGATTTCTTTACAAAGCCAGGCAGATATAATGCTTTTCTCACTCTCTTTCTCTCTTACGTACACACTCACACACACACACATTCGTATCTGCTCTCTCTGGGTCTGATAAACTTGCTTATGACAGCTAATAACTCCCATATTCCCCCTGGTCTTAATTAGGGCCAGTTATTACAGTGTTTGATGCTACCCTCTCTCTCTTTCTTTCACTATCTCTCGCTCATTTTCTGTCTCTCCTCTCCTGTTTTTTTTCCCTCTCTTTCTCTCACACTGTTGCACAGCTTGATCCCTGCATGTTGTTGAAAGTAAAATGTGGAGAGGATGAAGGGAGGACGTCTTCGAAAAACTCTCTGCCTCTCTGCTGGTGGTCCATGCAACCAGTATGCAAGCACGCACACACACGCACATACACAACACTTTCACATGCGCACACAGAAACTTAATTACTTACCCTGCTTCTTCTATTTTGCATTTTAGTGTTTTTACTCTATTTTTTTTTTCATGCAATTTGTAGTTACACTGCTTTCGCTTTGCAGTTCAATGTATTTAATTGAGTGATAGACACGGAGTGCAAAGAGGAAGAGAACCGAACGTCAACCCATAAAATGAAAGTTGTCAAGCTTGCTTCTTTAAAAATTAGAAGTCAGCTGGACTTATAAAGGCACCCAAAAGATTGTTTAATTTTCCAAAAAGAACTTTCAAAAAACTTGAATTCAAAATAAAGAGTTTTCAGAGATGTTTCCATTCATGGTGTGTATTTTACAATCCTAATACATAGTACTTTAGATGAAATCAACCAGAGGTTTTAGAAAAGAGTTGAAGTAATAAAAGAAGTGGTTGACTGCTTTACCTGTTGATAAATTTCTTGCTCATGATTTGAATAACAATTTAAAATTTTAAAAAAGAAGGATCAGAAAATTTATAACATAACTCCTTAAAATAAATAAAAGCTTTCCCCTGCACAAAGTCAACAAAACCAAACCATGGTACCTATGCATAAATCATATGGGATATATACAGATGTACTTTTCTTTGTTTTTCTCTTTGAGTTGCTTCTTCCATAGTGAAACTAAATCTGGATAAACAGATACTCTGATTTTATTCATTTATTTATTTTTATGGAAATAATGTGAAGTTATTCTGACCACCGTCTACAGAATGGAGTGAGTGATGCTCCAGGTAGCTTTTTCCAATTATATTTCAAAATAAAGGTAAGTACAAAATACAGCTTAAGAAGGGGTTAAGCTTACTCAAGCAATTGATACTTTAAAAAGTCAGCCAGAAATCTATTATTTACGATCATATTTAGGCTTAGTTTGATTTTTATAAATTTCCTCCATTTCCAATTTTCTCTATTTCACCATTTTCCATTTTCTCTAGCTGAGATAGATCACTATGGTAACTGTATGCTGGACTCCTCATCTGCTCTTGATCAGAATATAATCAGTGTAAAACATCGTCATCTAAAAAAACACCACCCACCAACCAATTAACTCCCTAGATCGTGGAGCTCCATGAGCTGATCAATAGAAGGGAGGAAAGACTGAGACCAACAGGACAGGACACTTTGCTGACCCATTTGATTAAACATTATGAAAAACATTAATGAAAGTCATTAACTGAACTCTCCTGATATCTTTTTTTATTAGTGGCTAAAACAGGCTGACACCAACACTTTTAAGCTGTTGTACTTATTATGGCTCTCAATTATATTTTCTTATTAATTTTTCATTATCTCATCAGACTTATTCAATATCACCAGGCCTGCAGCTGATACGTTACACCAAAAACTGTCATGCACACCAAAAAATAAATAAATAAATAGATTAGAGCAATGAATAAGTTGAAGGGACAAAACATGGAACATTCTAGATATCAGCAACATGTCTTCATGATTGAAAGTGACGTGGCAAGCCTCAAATTGGCACATTCACTCTCAGCATTTTTGCTTTGTTCTTTTTTGTTTTTACAAATGAAGCTGTGATGATTTCAATCTGGGTTATATGTTAGATGTATTGATTTGTTGAGAAGGCCAATGCTGAGTGTAGTAGTGGTACGTTCCAGCTCCTCAGCATCTGGCAGTACAAAGAGGCAGAGAGATATGGGAGCGCCATTCCACAAAGGTGCTGCTGCGCTAATTTTGCTTATTGTGTGCATCCATTGTAATGTAAATGTTGTACAACGTAAAGTATTGTGCATTGGTGTAGTTAAGTAAATGGTAAATGGACTGAGTTTATATAACACTTACTCTAGTCTCCAGCTGACACCCTATTCATACCATGATGGTATGAATGGCATTGGCTGCTTTGTACCAGCCCAGCAGTGTTAACTAGTCCCGTTAACACACCACCAGCACAGCATCAGGGGCAGTTTATGGGCCAAGGACACTAAAACACGAGGACGGGCCTGTCATCAAACCTTTGACCTTTTTAATGAGAGACGATTAACTCTAGCCTCAGCCTACAGCATCGATAACCAGCACTGAGACCACACAATGTGATCTCCCCCTTTAGGCTCTGTGAAGCCACATGCACAAAAGACATCTAGTCCAGGTTAAACTTAACTTGCTTTAGTGTAGAAGCATCTGGATAAATTAATCTATGTGAGGTGTACATGTGGTGCCAACTATTTCTTCTTTAACTTTCCATTATCTGTTGCTGTGCTCCTGACAGCAAAATAGAAAAAATAAAATGGAAAAGATGGAAAAAGGACAAGGCGAAAATACCAAGGACAAGGGTCCAATGAGTAGTTTGATTCAACGAGCAATTGACCTCATGTATTATGCAGGAATTATCTCCGGTCACTACATGATGTCATGATCTAAGAGGAGAGCATGTGGTGAGACTCTGATCATCAAATATTCATCAGACACACACGCACACATACACACACACACCATCTTACAACATGGTAATTGGCTGTCTTGATTGCAGTAGTCTCAAGTTGGACAGATGAGTCGGATTCTCTAATTGAAATCACAAGAGGGGGAAAAATGCTTTTCCATTTCACAGTCTCCACTATGACAAAGTTTTGTTTTCTTTGTGAGCTGTTGAGGTCAATTTAAGGTAAAGCAATAACCTCAATATTCATTCATTTATGACATGTGCCTTGGTGACGTCTATCTAATTTACCATTAAGTTTGGTATGGTAGTCATTGCCAGTAGAACAGATGGTTCAGCTGAGCTACTAGACCTTTATAACTCCAAAATGGTCCCATTATCGGGGCCTTTGCCACAGAGGCTATATGCCTTTCAGAACAATGTCTAAAGCAATATTTATAGAGAATACCTGGCACATCAACTAAAAAAAGTGAAGATAAAGACAACATACAAAACGAACAGCAGATAGTAAGTTAGAATTTGTCTCTTTTTTGTGTCCAACCTGCACCCATGCCATGACTGCCAAAGCAAACATTTCCAACTTTAGTGTTTAATAAGTCAGAATGGCTTCCTGGTGCATTCAGCTTGCTTCATCCAAGAGTGCAACCTGCCTGCCAACTCAGAGGAGATAAAAAAATTAAAAAACAAAAAAAAATTCTGGGCCTGTTTATACGAGTAGACTGGAAAGCTGAGCTTTCAAAAGCTTCTGCGGGGGAGAAAATCTATAGAGCACTCATGGCTGTGGTGGCCCTCATCCAGTTTGCCAATTCAGTGGTTTTAATTTCTGCATTAAATTTCAAAGTGCCAATTAGTGTCCAGGGATATCATTAGTGCTTTTCCATAGTTTCAGGGTAAATTGAATGAGTTGTAATTGTGTGTCACTACAGTCAATGAGGTTGTAAGCTGTGATTCAGACTGATCATGGCACAATAGGTTGGAGGCCACATTGAGGGTGACAAGCAGAGCTCAATTGAAAGGGCATGCAAGGGTCCAGTTGCAGCTCGGACAACTTTGAAAGTATTGGCTGAATGTATTGACGAATGGGGTATGTAATTTCTTCCTAGTGTATTGATTGCGTCAAAAGTGGACTGAAGCATAGTTTGAGAAATTAGTATACTATATTTTTCAATCAATGCATGTCTGACCGAGACTGTAAATGCCATTTTTGTGAACATTGACGACATTGAAGAAAGAAAAACATTTTTGTCATTGGTAGATTGCATTTCCTTTGTAAAAAATTCACACTGATAGATTACTTTCAGGGGCAGATGACCACTGGTAGGGCTAAAACTGGATAATCCTTACAGAGATTATAACACTTATAACTGGACTACCTGATAAGTATTTATTCCTTTGCTCATACCACACAATAATTGAGTTTCATAAAA